CTGGCTCATGACCCAAGTGCCTGCTGAGGGGAAGCCAGTGAGTGGAGAGCAGCCGCCAGCCTCCTTCTTGCCCCGCCCTCCCAGGGATGCCCCCACCCCCAGTTTCCTGATAGGATACCCAAGGAACAACTCCTTCCACTGCAGCCCCCCAAATAACCACCGTAGACCCCACCCCATCCACGGGGTCTGGTCCCACGGCCAGTTCCCAGGCAGACCCTGGCTGCTGGAGAGCCTGGGTTTGCAGGACAGGGAGGGAACTGGGGGAAAAGAACCACTTTCCAAGCACTAACCTAGTTCTCATGACGGCCCAGCGCGCGTTTGCAGCTGTAGAGACTGAGACCCAGCTGAGGAGTGACAGCCATGGTGGGCGAAGCGCTGTTCCGAGAGCTTTCCCGGGCTAGCTCAGAGGGCCTGGCCTGGCCTGGCCTCAGCCATCCCGCTTTACTGGCAGAGGTGGGGGCCTCCCGGAAGCCAACATTTGGGGTGCTACACGGGGTGGGCAAGAGAGGTGGCCCTGAAGGCCTAGGGGTGGCCTGAGATCCCCTATTCCGAGCTGGCCTTGGATCAGCCTCCCCTAAACGCTGCTCCCTCTGCCGGCCCCTGGCCTGATGGCCAAGCCCGCTCTCGTCCGCTTCCCTGGGAAAGGCTATTTTTCATCCCAATCAGCCTCCTGCAGGGCCCCTGGGGACTGCTGGCCAAGCTCCAGGACACAGGCCTAGAAGGTGGCCCAGCCTCTAGGCAGAGGCCTCAGAAGTCAAGCTGGGCAGCATGAGGATGGGGGAAACTGAGGTCCAGATGGGGCAGGGCACAACCATCCCTCCACCGCCCGCCCCTCCATAGCACACGGCTCTTATGTCCTTTTTGCAGGTGGAGACACTGAGACGCTGCACGTCTCACAGCCAGTGACGGGAAAGCTGTGATTTGATCCCAGCTAAGCTGACCCCACAGGCTGCTCCCTAAGCCCCCCGTGCTGAGCCTGAGCCACCCCACCTGCCTAGGGAGATGACCCCAGTGTCCGTGGGCATCCGCAGACCATTACCGTGCAGGCCCCGGGACGGATGCCCACCCCGGCCCCAGAAGGAGCCGGGCACACGCAACTCCACGGGCCAGGCCCAGAGCTAAGCCCACATCGTGTTCGACGCCCAGGTCTGCCACCAACCCCGTGATAATAGGCCCACCAGCCAAAGATGGGTAACTTACCCGCGGACCCTCAAAGGCCGAGGGTCTCCGTGGGAAAAGCCAGGGATGACGAGACTGACAGCGGCAGGGAAAGGGTTCACCCTGTCAAAGGCAGACACCTTCTCCCTCCTGGCCCCTTCAAGGCCCCCTTGAAGTTCACCTCCCCGCTCTGTGTGTGGCTTCTCTGTGGTGCCCACTACACAGAGGTGGGCCGGGGGGCCAGGCTGGGCGAGGGCAGCACCCTTGTCTTGCCTGCTGGCACCCCCCTTGTGCCGGTTACTTGGATGGCTCAGCTCAGAGCTGCTGGAATGTCCGGAAGGAGCACTGGATTTGAGGGAGGAGGGAGGGCTCCAGAGCCCAAGTGTGCAACACTGTCGTCACGCAAAGCTGCCCCTCCCCTCCATGCCTCTTAACTGCCTCCCCTGTAAAATGGGAGCAATCGCGTAGGGCACCCAGTCCTTTGGGAAGAAGTGGGGTGCAGAAGAGCTAATAAGTTAATTCAGGGGAAGGCGTCCTTGTTAGCGCAGTTGTCGGACCAACGCGGCCCCCGGTGACTGACCTGGCTGCCTCTCGCTCTCGTCGGCCCACACCAGCAGGCAGACATCAAGCCACCTTGGGCGAGGGCATCAGCTGTGATGCCTCACGAGCCGCCCGCACGCACCGGCTGTGCTGCTCCGAGCAGATCACATACAACGTGATGCAGCAGCCGTCTCATTTCCACCTCTGCTGAGAAAGGAACTGAGGCCCAAAAAGAGGAAGCGATTGGCCAAAGAAGAACTATCATCCAGGCTTGTCACACTGACTGCGTCAACTTTGCCCGCCTCATGGTTACAAAGTGGCTGCCAACACTCCCAGCAGACTGGTTGCAGGGTTGGTTGCTTCCTGGTATAGGAAAACCCATTTAAAATCAAGAAATATGAAATGACTAGCTCTCCAGATACCCTCCCTCACGTCACCTCAAAATGAGTGACCCCCAGAAGAAACTACCCTTCAGACCTCATGCACAGAGGGTTGGTCTTGTCTGTTCTTGAGTTTTATATCAATGGAGCCATGTCTAGGTGTTCTTTCTTCTCTGACTTCTCTGCTCACTGTGGGGCGAGATTCAGGCTGTTGTGTGTAGCGGGGGTCTGTCTGTCTCACTGGTGTACATCCGTCACGTGACCACACCGCGAGGTATGGCCTTGGTAGACATTCGGGGACTTCTTCCCGGGTTACATGGATATCTTTGCTGTGATTATTCTGGAGCTGGAGCATGTCCTTGGATGAGCACAAGCACACAGTTCTCTCTGGTATTAGTTAGAAGTGGGACTTGTTGATGTCAGGACACGTTTGTTTGACTTCAGCAAATGCTGTTGATTTTCCAAAGTGGTTTTACCATTTTACACACCTGCCGATGGTGGTTAAGCATTTCAGTGACCCCACATCTTCCCCCATACCTGCTAGAGCCCAATATTTCCACATGAACTGTTCTGGGGGTGGGTGTACAATGGGGGGGGCGTGCAATGGTATTCCTCTGGGGTCTTTGAAGTTCCCCCAAACACTCAAGACACCAAACACCCTTATGTTTGGTTATCGACCATTTGGACATCCTCTTTGACAAGTGTTTGGCTTATCGTCTTTGGGGATCAGTTACCAGAGCCACAAGAACACTGTATACCACCATACCCCAAATCAGCATCTATGCTCCTGTTTGGGCTCTGCAGTTGGCTGTAGACAGCAGATCTAGGCCCACCCAGGCTGGGCTACTCAGCTTCAGCTCGCAGGCCCTGTAGGGCGGGGCTTCTGACTGCAGGGTGGGCTCAGGCTGCCCAGGTGGGTGCAGGTGGGCCCAGCAAAAGGGCAGTAGCTGGGGTGAGGGTAGTGGGGGGCTCCGCTCCTGGCGATGGCAGAATAGCAAGCCCCACTGCACAGACTCAGGACAAGCAGAAGCCCTAGCATGCCCACCAACATCCATTCATTCATCACTGAGAGCAAGTCATGGGGCCAAGCCCCTGAGTGGGGCAGGGAGGGGAGGGCCTGGCTCCAGGGGCGGGCGTGAATGCTGGCTGGACAAACCAAATCATACACCGGGATTTTGGACATTTCACAAAAGACCTCATGTGATGCTAATATTCATCCAGAGCTAAGCTGACCTGATGCATGGCATGTCTGTCAGTTAAAATGAGAATCAGTTCTAGTTGATTTTACTACATTTCCTAAAAACAGTCGACTCAAACAAAGTCCATTCCCTTCTTTATTTTTTTTAGATTTTATTTATTTTTGCATAAAGAACTAGGGTGCAGGCCAGAGGTGCAGGGGGTGAGAGGATTCACCAGAGACAGAGTGGGGAGCAGAATAGCCGCCGATTGACTGAAATCCACTGCTGAGGGTGAGACAGGAGAGGTCTGTTCAGACATGTGGGTCAGCTCCCTGGCCAGGGATTGAACTCGGGCTGTAGCAGTGACAGCGCTAAGACTTAACCCCTAGGCCACTAGGGAGGCCCCAAAGTCCACTTCTTCTTGAGACTTTCTTTTTTTTTTTTTAAAGAGAGTCCCTGGAATTAATGTGGCAAATGATTTTATTTATTTATTTATTTTTAAAGATTTATTTATTTATTTATACAAGCACTGTGTACAGTCAGAAGCGCGGGAGGGTGAGAGAATTCACCAGAGCCAGAGCGGGGAGCAGAGCAGGCAGAAGGACCCAAGTACACTGCTGAGGGGAGCAGCGGGCGGCAGGAGAGGTCTGCGCGCCATGCGGGACCCTCCTCCGGTGGCCGGGGAGCAGCCGGGGATCGAACCGGTGCCACAGAGGCTTCAGGCAGCTTCGCAACCCAGCGCTCAACCGCTGCGCCACCGGGGAGGCCCTGGCAAATGATTTTAATGAGCTCATGTGATCTTCACTGGTGAGCCTGGGAATGCTAAGGACTCACCCTTAGTATCCTCAGCCCCAGCGCAGTGCAGAGAAGTGAGGTGCCCAGAGGGGACGTGGCTGGATAACTGGAGGGCAGGCTGTGTGAGCTGCAGGGATTTTGTCTATTGGTGTTATTGTGGCATCACTGTGCTTAGAAGAACACTTGGTATATAGTAGGTGCTCAATAATAACCTCCCTAGGACCTTGAGGGCTTGTTTGGAGGTTCTGGGGTGGAGTGAGGGGGAACATGGCTACTTATATGACTTTGACCAAAGAATGGTCTGTCTCTATTTGGGGAAGCCCTCCTCTGAGCATGCAGCCTCGTGAGGGACGCACATGAGAAGTGAGGGGGGGATGGGACAGCCGAACCAACCCTGGCGATCAAGGGGCACAGGTGTCGCAGGCAGATCGCCCTCGCACCCTCTCCCAGTGAGTGCACGCACGCACACATGCATAGGTGCGCTGCAGGGAACGGAAACCTGGTGGCGAGGCAGATGGATGCACAGTTGGATGCACAGGGCTGGATGAGAGCATGAATGGGTGGGTGGGCGCACAGACAGCGGAGCGATGGCTACCACGGGACTGAGTGGGTGGTTGATGGTGGGTGAGCATGGACAGGAGGATCTCTGGATGGGTGGCTATTGGATACAGGGGTGCGTACATGGATGGACAGGAGGTGGCTAAGTGAGAGGGTGGACATGTGAGAGGAAGAAGCAATGAACAGACACGGGTGTGAGCGAGGTCGGTAGACCGGTGAGTAGCCGAGCGGACGGATGGGTGTGTCCAGATGCGGGGTTGGGAGGACCCTACGACCTGATGGATGAATGGAAGAGACTGTGTGATGGCCAAACAGGCACAGCCTTCCTGCGGGTAAACCTCGCCGTCCTGGCAAACTCCTAGTGACCAGGATGCTTTTGGTCTCCTCACAGGGTGTTCTGATTGGCTGCTTCCTCCTCCCCCGAGGGTCTCTCCGCGAGGCCGGGTGAGAGGGGCAGAGGATGGCCACGGAGATCAGCGCTCCGGGCGGGCAGCGCGCCATCGGGCACGAGGAGTACAGCCTCTACGGCAGCCTGAGCGAGGACGAGCTGATCCAGATGGCCATCGAGCAGAGCCTGGCCGACAAGACCCGGGGCCCCACCGCCCCAGAGGCCGCTGGGCCCACCCGTGCCAACCGCCAACCTGCCCATTTCTACCCGTGGACCAGGTGAGCGAGCGCGGCCAGCTGGGGCATGCACAGGGTACAGGCCGTGAACGCTGTAAACCACACCCAGTTATCCTGGACTCTGGGGCGCATTGGATGCCTTAGTGGTTTATTTACATTCGTTCATTAAACCACTGAGTTCTGACAGCTCCGGGTACTGCCTGACGTGCTCTATACACTCTGTGTCGTTTCACCCCCCGAGGGTCTCCCAGGCGGGCTGCACGCTGAATTCCAGGCTACCGGTGAGGAAACTGCAGCTCAGGACTGAGTAACTTGCCAAGGTCTCCGGGCTAAGAGGGGCAGTTGCGGAGTTTGGAGCTGGCTGACTCCAAAGCCTGGCCCCGTGTCACTGGCTTTATGTGCGAAGGAGTGAAGTGACACCCCAAATATGGGAATGTGGGTTGCCTGTGAGGGTGATGTCCCCGCCCTAACTATGCAGTGTCCCCGAGAAAACGTGTCTGCAAGCAAAGGACCTCCCTCCGCCCTTGGTCTGGCTCCCCCGTCTCAGCAGCCCAGTCACCATCTAGGGCAGTGCCACCTGCCAGAAATGTGCCGCAGGCCAGAACCGCAATCCAACATGCAGTTCTGAATGTCCTAATAGCCTTATTTGAAAAGCAAAGCGAGACAGGTGAAGTTCAGTCCTAATTATTATCATCTCCAATGTCATCAAGGTAAGAGCTACAGAAGATTTTACAACCTTTTTTTCTTATTAAATCTACAACTCAGCATGTTTTTTGCATTCACAAAGTGTCTCCATTCAGACTGGCCACATCTCGAGGGCTCACTGGCCACCTGGGGCCAGGGGCTACCATCTGGGCAGCGTAGCTCTAAAGGACGCCTTTGTAGGAAGGTGAAGCCAAAGAGGTAATTCAGATCGGATCTCAATACGCTCTTAGAAAAGAAATACACAAACTCATAAGATGCTTTTGCTCACCTTTGAGTCAAAGTGAAGTGTATCGGGCCGAGGGACGGGAGTGGCCATGACAACTGTCTCAGTGTTACTTTGGGGCCCGGGCCTCGAATGTCATTGTCTCTAGCAGCCACCTGTGCGACCTCAGGCAAGTCACTTAACCTCTCTGAATCTTATTAACAACAATTTTAAAGAATCCCACATGATAGAATGAAGGTGGGTGATGGTGCAGCCCCACTCCCTGGTGAAATCTATGAGGTTCTCCCCAGATAACTGGCCCTTGCCAAGGCTGGACCACCTCTGCAGGCAAGCTGGCTAGAGGTCCAGGATGCCCCGAGCAGCCTCAGGGGCAGGCAGGCAGGCTGAGTTGCAGAGGAAACCCCATTCTGGGACCCAGTGTGAAAAGCAGAGACCCAGAGCCCAGGATTCATCATGGCCTTGATGTAGGGGCCCTGGTTCCTGTTCTGGCAGCTGAGCTGAAGCAGACCGCAGGTTCCTCTTTCTCAGGAGGGGAAAGATGAGATAAGGGCATCCTGGCTCAGAAGTCAGGCCTGCAACAAGAAGCCGGCACAACCCCAGCACCTGCAGGCTTCTCCCAGCCCGCACACACCCACTTAACATCACAAATGAGTAGCCCCTGAGGGCCAGACCCTGATCTCCTTCCCAGAGAGGGTGAGGAAGTAGAGACTCACAGTGGCCCACAAACACTTATCAGCCTCCTGGGAAAAAGCCCTCAGAGAGGAAGTGAAATGACTGACCCGGGGTCACGCAGCCCTCGCTGAAGATCCAGACACGGTCACGCAGGGGAGGAGGCTTCAACCTGGTCTCTCACTCACTCTCCGTGTGACTGGACGCCTCCTGGCTGGGCTTTCCCTTGTGTGTCTGGCAGGAGGTTCCCCTGCTGGGGAAGCAAATCCTCCCTTTAAGAACATGATTTTTAAGCCATTCTTGTCCCCTCCCTCTAAGGCGTGCGCTGCTTCCCACGGGCTGGGCACTCTGCAATCCACATAATCCTTATGAAGGCCGCGTAAGCTGGGCATTCGTGTGCCCAGCGGGGTCAGGATGGGAACTGGAGTCTGTCCTGCTCTGAAGTTCAAGTCCCTCACCACCTCTGCGGTTTCTGCAAGGGCCTCTCCCTGCTTCCGCTCCCTCCTCCACCTGGATGTGGGGTTTGGGTCTCATTATGTCTGTTTCCCACCCACAGAGATTCGGGTCCCCAAAGACAACAGACACGCAGGGGGTGCTGATAGGGTGCAGCAGTCCAGGAGCCCAGAGTCTGCTCCCTTTGACCCCTGCTTATCAGTTTCCGTCCAAATCAACCTGCAAGGCTTAGGAACAGGACACCACACACGTGCCGGCTCCTGCTCGGCCTTCAGATCCCAGACCCAATGGCATCTCCCCTGCACATCCTGCCCGACCCCCTCCCGGGTCAGGGGTCCACCTCCCGTGCCCGCCCTCTTGGTGTTTCCTTCACGGCCCTGGCGATGACTTACAAGTCATGTCTCTGTTTTCACCACTGGCTTGTAGGCTCTGTGGAGGTGAGCGCTCCATCCAGCTTCCTTCCCGGGAAGCTCCCAGCCCTGCAGCGCCTGACCCCTGGGGAGCCCCTGAGCCCCAAAGGCTCTCTGCAAGCCAACGAACAGGGGTGGGGGGTGAAAGGAATGAATACAGAGGTAGCAGAGGGGAAAGAGAAGCAGGTTTGGAGGCTCCAACTCTTCCGCCGCCACTTCCCGGCTGTGTGACCTTAGGCAAATTTCTTAAACTTTCTGAGCCCAATGTCCTTGCCTCTAAATGGCACAAAACCGCATCTTGCCCACCTACAGTGTTCTTAGGAAAAGCAGATAAAATGAGGGCGCGGAGGTGTGGAGCCTTCCCACATCCTGCAGCTCAGACAGACTGCCCCTCCTCCCGCGGTGCCCCACGTACCCACTCACGGGCGGCCTCTGCTTCATGAGCCAGGTTTCCACCCGGGACCAGTGTGGAAAGGCAGTGTCTTCGGGAAGGCAGTCTCTCACCTGAAAGTGTCCCCAACAACTCTGTCACCTCCTGGGCACAGGAAGCAGAAACCCTCACCCTTGCATCCCTAGGGATCATCGTGGGCACCCAATGAATGATTTCAGGCAAATAAACACTTTGAGAACAATTAAATTCTCCAGGAATGGAATTTGTTGTTATCATCTTATGGCCAAAATGGCAACCCTAAAGGGGCCATAAAAGTAAAAGCCAGACCAGCACCCCAGAGAAAATAGAAAGTTCCCTTTTAAAACTGTTTTCCAGTTTACTTCCCTCCCATCACATTGGAAGGGACAAAGTTTGAAACATGCGTGAGGCTCATGCGTGAGGCAGGCCGTGGCCCCCCGAGGGCCCCCTGATAGGCAGACCTGGCTTCCCGTGCCCCGGAGAGGGAGCACCCGTGGCCTCATGAGACAGGGAGCCCGAGGTTGCCATGGATGGATCTAGGAAGCTGGTCTTTAAACGTCTGCGTTTTGTTTAAGGTTAGTTTCTAAGAAGATAAAGAGAGAAAACGTGAAGCAGGAACTTGCTTGAGCTGATGTATGCACAGCTGCAGACAGTTCAAATCAAGTCACCCATACTTGCTGAGGGCTCTGGTGTGCCATGGTGTGCCAGGTTCCTTCTCTGCATCTGGATGGGAGTCAGGCCCGGGCCAGAGATGCATGATGGCCCAACAGGAAGGGCACAGCAGAAAGGCTTGCCCCAGTTTTGAAGGGACACAAAAGGGTTGATTCACTTAGTTGAGGAGGTGGGCATTGCAGGATGAATAGGAGTTTGTTAAACAGGTTAGAAGCAGCAAAAGGGAGCCAATGATGTCTCCCTCGTAGAGGGAGCTGGAGGGGTAGATGAGATGCCTGGTGCCATGTGCCTGTCACAAGTCCTGGCCAAGAGCAATCGCTCAGTGAATCTACAGCTTGGAATTCAAGTTCTCTGAGTGTGACTCTCTCAGCTAGCTTGGAAAGGATGATTTGGCCAGAGGATGAGGGAGAAACAGAATTTTCATGGTTGGGGGGCTAATTCCAGAGACCTCAGGAATGGTGGGGAGGAGCTCTATGTTGTGAGTTCTTCCTTTCTCTACCTTTCTTCCTTTCTAGAGGGCAGCAGGCTGGTTCCCCTGGAACTGGAAATCTTGGCACACAACACCAGGGTTATCGTGTGGGTTGTTACCCCTTCAAGGCTTTTGTTTGTTTCATTTTATTCATGTAAAGTAGCAAGTGCCTACTGTACTCAGGCACCTGTGCTTGGGTGTCTGAGTGGGTGGTGTGAGGACAAATGTAGTTTCCTGGAAGAGGTGTGGGCAGGAGGGAGACTCACATTTGCCGCCGCCCCCCCCCCCCCCGCTAAGATGCCTGCTTGCCAGCTGCCGTCAGCCAATTTAACACCCTTCCTGGGCTGGCCTGGGCTTCTTATTAGCTCAGACAAGCTCACTAAGAAATTAAGGGGCTTTGTCATCACAACTCCACTCCCCACTCACTGAGGTGGACCCATGTCTGAAGTCGGTGATGCCGATGAGTGCATGACCCCAAGAAAAGGACAGGCCCCAAGTGCATGACCCCAAGAAAAGGACAGGCCCTGCCTGGCTTCCGCAGGGGCATGACCCCTAGCCACATCCCGCCAGGTTGCTCTCACCTCTGATGACTCAGCCCTCATGGTTTCTGCTCAGGGCCCGGGGGGATGTGGGGCTGCAGCCTAGACAGGAAAGCTCAGAACCCACTGGGGCCTGGTTCCCCAGCCAGCCATGACCCCTACAGCTCAGCAGCCCTGAGCACTTGCTTGGTGCCCCTAACACCACCTCAGCCACCCGACTTTAGGGCTCCAGGACACCTGGGTGCTCCAGCCCCAGCGCCTGTATGTGCTCGTGGGGCCATCCTGCCAGCGGTAGCTCCTGGGTTGAGGGTGGTTGTTAACGACTTTGCTGAAAACAATCAATGACAGGAGCCCATACGTGGATCGATGATAAGGGCGGCTGGACACCGGGGATCAAGTTCAGACGGAAGCCCAGGGCTGTGTCTAGACCGAGGGTGGGGGCTGCCAAGGTGCAGGGGCTGTCACCCTGCCCAGCATGCAGCCCCCCAGGCTGGCCTTGCCACCCCTCCCGGGGTGCAGTCTCCCACAACCTGCCGCGTTTCCCCCAGTGAGTTCATTTCAGCAAAGGCTCCACAAAAGCAGTGAGGAAACCCCCTTCTGGTCCCGCATCCTCGTTTTTTGCAAATGAGCAAAGTGAGGAGGAGGAAGGGCTGAGGCGCTCTGCACACAGGTGGGCGTCCCGGCCACAGTGCGCACGTCACCAGGGCGGCCACCCACTCTGGGGACCTTGGCTCCCTCCTCTAGAACAAGGCAGGACCTTGGCACCCACCTCAAGAGGTCATGAGAGCTACTGAATGTATACACGGAGGCCGGGCGTGCGCTGCTCAGCCTCCCAGCCCAGAGGGTGCTCGGGAGACAAGGTGACAGAGGCAGTGAAAGAAGGGAGACAGTGACAGTGACATCAAGGAGGAGGCTGGTGGAGGAGGCTGCCCTGGACCCCTGCTGAGATGCCTGATGCTGAGGTGGGGGTGTCCTGTGCCTGCACCGCCCGTCCACCCACCCTGGGCTTGCTGAGGACACACAGCATCTGTGGTCTGACCTGCCCTGGAAAAGCGGGGTCCTTCCCAGGGTCACTGTCCCAGCACCTCCATGTCCCAGGGGGTGCCGGTCACCAATATCAAGACTCCCAATCCCCCAGGGTAGAGGGTGCAGAAGACCATGCTGGGCCTTGGGTGTCTGTCCACGACCAGGGCCGATCTGTTAGGATTGGGGATAGTGTGAGCTTTGGCCCCATTCTCATTGCACCCCCAATCAATCCAGACCATGGGGTGGCCTCCCCCCTTGCTTGCATCCCTCCTGTCCTCATACCAGCCTGATGGAGCAGGGCAACCAAGGCTCAGGGAGGTGAAAGAGTGATGAAATCAGCGGTGGGCACAGGTGGAGCCCCCCTGCTCTCAACAATGAGCGTTGTCATTTCTGCTCATCATTCAGGCTTCACCCCTCCCAGACAGGACTGTTCTGGAGCAAAAGTCCAGAGAATTCCCCTCATCCAAGGTCAGACAGGCAGGCAGCGCCAGGGTCTGGATTCAAACTCACATCTGTCTGAGTCCACGGCCTGGCCCTGGGACCTTCTCGAATCCTCTTGCTGTAATCTCTGGACTGGCTGTTCCCGACCCCAGGGCAGCAGGACCCCCTCATGAAGAGCCAGCGAGGGGGTGGGGGCACAGGCCTGGCTCTGCCTCCCAACTTTGACCCCCACGAATCTCTTGCCCAGCCCCTGTGGGAACCCAGATTGGAGAGCGGAGACCCAGCCCCTTGCATCTGGGGACCTGCCACTGACCGCTGCTCACGTCCCCCTGGGGGAAGTATGTCACCTTGCTTCATATCTGCCTCCTGCGTGGTTGGCTGGGGAGGGGGTGAGGTTAACCTCATTGTTGTCTTATATGGTCATTTAAATCTCCCAGGGCTTCCTCCAAGGGCCAAAAATAATCCGGAGACACAGCAGCTGTGTCCAGCACACAGAGGACGCGGCCATCTGCTTTGGTTCAGCGCCCTGTGTCTGCCTCTTAGGCTCTCTCCCCCTCACGCTCCCTCCAGCCCAGTTCCAGCCTCCGGCCATGACCCGCTTCTCATATGCAGAGTATTTTTCCCTCTTTCACTCCCGCCCTGCACCCTCCAGGTCGACTGCGCCTCCCGAGAGCCCGGCCGCCTCAGGCCCCATGGGGCTGTTCCAAGGGGTCCTGCAGAAATACAAGAGCAGCAAGACCTCAGAGCTGGCGTAAGTGACCCGGGCCCGGCCCCCGAGACCAGCCAAGCTCACGTCCCACCCGCGGTGGCTGAGGGGTGAGGGATGGGAAGGAGGGCACTGTGGGGGGACCTCCCTGCACCCCCAGCCCCAGGTGTGACTCTGAAACCCAGCTGCTCCTGAGCTGGCCTCAGAGGCCAGAGAGGCTCCGGTCCCCAAGGAGCCGCCAGCCAGGCTGTGGTTAACCCTGCAGCGGCCCCCCTGGGGCCCATGGGCTGGAGGAGCCCGTGGCACTCTGCATCCGGGGTCCCAGCAAGAGGGGGACTGGGGAGCCCCCAAGGTAGAGGAGCTCAGAGCTGAGGCTGAGGTGTCAGTCCCTGCTCCGTCTCGGTCTCCCCCAGGCCCCACTGCCATCCTGGCACGGCCGCGAGCCACACCCACGGGCTCGGTTCAGCTTTGTTGTCTTGGAGTTCAGCGCCAGGTGCTGGGGTCCAGAAACGTTCTGAGCTGCAGGAGGGAGTCTGTTTGCCTGGCGCCCGGGTGCTGGGTGAGGTGGTTCCCTAGAAAGTAGCTCTGAGGTGTTCCCATCTTGGCTTCCCCGTAACGACCCTAGGAGCAGAGGGGGCCCCATCATGCGAACCCCTATTTCCTTGCTCGGTTATGCTGCACAGAAGGGAGGAGGTGATTGGCTGATGTTTTGTTTTTCCTTCCCAGTCCTTCCAAACTCTGCTGCACCCCACTTCCTTGGCGCTGGGGTGGGATTGAGTCTAGAAAGGGAGTTCCTGGTTCTGGTCTCGTCTGGGCCTGGCTGCCACTTCCCGGCAAGTGCCCACCAGTTGCTGTCCCTCCTGAGTCTCCCCTCTCTGGGAGAGAAGGTTGGAGAGGACAGAGTGACCCTCTAACTCCGTCGTCTCTGAGGGCCTGACCCCCCAGCTGCCCTCCCGCTGCTGGGGAGGGGATGTTGGCTGGGCTCACAGACGAAGAGCCAGCGGATGTGCCTGCGACTCCGGGGTCCTGGCAGCACGCTGGACCAGACCCGAGCTGGCACCCTGTCCCGAGAGCACGTGACACCCCACGCCCCACGGCCACAGCAGCCAGCGCCTCCCTCCCCCAGGAGACCTCCCAGGGGGTCGAGACGTTCACCCTACCCAGGCTTTTCCGAGGCTGCCGGGCTACTCCAGCCTCACGTGGGAAGGGCTCTTCGAGGTGGCCGTGATGGCGTTGATGGGGACTCAGGGCTTATCGGGGCGGCTACCCATCATCCTCGCTGGGCCTGCCTCCGCGCGCCGATGCTATTAATAACCCAGAGGCTGAGAGGCAGGAGGAAGTGCTGCTCACGCAGGAGGAAGAGGCGGGGAGGGCAGAGGGGTGGCCCTGGGGACCCTGGGGACCCTCAGAGCCTGTGCTGGCCTCTGGCGTGTGTGGGCCCAGGAGCAAGGCCCACGGCCCGCCTCATCTTCTCCATCTGGGACATGGGCCTGGGGGAGCAGAACTGCCCAGTTCTGCAGCAGTCACCTGAGCGGTGGCGCCCACTGACTCTCCAGGGATGCGGGAAAGGAGCTCCGTGAATGAGTGAATGAATGAATGAATGAATGAACAAATGAACAAAGTAGCTCTAGTGACCCAAGCAAAGAAGTTATCATTCCCGTTAGCCCTGAAATCTTTTTAACACTCAGCAGTTCTACGCTGGGAATGCCGCAAGGGTGTTCATCCTTCAAGCATTTACGTCTTTCAGCAGCTCGTGCTCTAGGGTAATGATGAGGGTCGGGAGCAAGCAGGGGACCCCAGAAAGATGTCTCTGCACAGTCTCCCTCTGAGGGGTCTGTGCCCTCATCTCAGAGGTGCTCGAAGGCAAACAGACCCGAAGGTGGAGGCTCTCGGCGGAGGCTGGAGCTCCATGCTCCGGGAGCGCGCTCCGTGGCCCGCGAGGGCTTGGCCATCTGCCCCTCGGCGCCTGCACTGTGGCGGGAGGATCTGACTGTCACTAGAGCTGCAGCCCCTGAGAGCCTTAGGGATGGGGGGTCTTCCCCCTTTCTAGCACAGCTCCCCAACTTGGTGCTTGACTCGCAGATCAAGATGTGGAAGCACCCCCCGCCCAGGGATGCTCCCAGGAAGAGTGGACACGAGAAGGCTGGACCCAGAGCCCCCCATGTTTATCTGACTGGGCCGCCACACTCTCCACATACTCTAAGGAGGTGCTGCAGAGAACGCTTTGCACAAAATAAGAAGATCCTAATGAAAAAGCAAAACTGTAACCAGAAAGAGGCTGTCTCTGGAAATAGAAGGGGGGAAACAATGGCTGGGATTACTGGATTGTGAGATCTGCCTCTCCCTCATGCCACAAATATTTATTAAGCACCCATTATAGACCAACCACTGAGCTGGGTCCTGGGGATCACGGCACGAGGGATAAAAGAAATACACTGTCCCTGTCTTTCTGGAACTTGGAACAGTGGGGGAGACAGACAGCGGTCAAACAATCTCCCAAAGGTAAGTGAAGGCCAGTGGCTAGATGAGGACTCCCAGCAGGTGAGGCGAGGCTGACGGCGGCAGGCAGGCTGGGGTCAGTGTGGCTGAGGAAGCCACGATAGAGCAGAAGGTCAGGCCAAGGTCAGGGCGGAGTTCCCAGTCTCACCGTGTGGCTTAGGAACCACCGTCCTCATTAGGAACCACTGTCAGCAGCGAGGCTGCGGATCCCGCTGCCAGCAACACCCCTGGGCACCGCAGGCCCTGCTTTTCCTCCGGGAGAGGGGCTGCCCAGCCTGGGCTCCGTGCGGAGGGGTGACTCCACTTGCTCTACAGGCCCCTGGACCCCGTGCTAAAGGCCATCAAGGAAGGTGATGAGGAGGCCCTGAAGGCCATGATCAAGGCGGGGAAGAACCTTGCGGAGCCCAACAAGGAGGGCTGGCTGCCGCTGCACGAGGCCGCCTACTACGGCCAGCTGGACTGCCTGAGGGCCCTGCAGCGAGGTGAGGGGCAGGCCTTGCTGCCCCGGGGCGGGGAGTGGACTCGGGGGCGAACACTCCCTCCTCCAGAGCACCAAGTTCACCAAGTTCACCCTTGCCATCTCTCCAGACCTCCCAGGACAAGGAGAGCCTAATTACTAGGGAAGGAATGAGGGAGGGGTCACATTTGGGAAAGCTACGCCAGCTTGTTCTAGAATGTTTCAGGGGCTGACTTGGTGGGGAAAAGACTGCAGCTATGCCATGCCTGCCAAGGCCATCCCCCCTCCCCCAGCTGTGGGATCCTACCCACATCACACGCCTCCTCTGTCAGCCTCAGTTTCCTCCCAAGGCAGAGGTAGATGGTCCCGCCTGCAGGCGCGAGTTACCTCTGCCCTCAGGACCCCAGACACCCACCGCGCTCCAGGGTATAGACAGCTGCTGAAGCTGAGCTTCCTGCAGTGATTGGCGGGAGCATGAGGGTCACACGGCGCTCAGTGAAGGCCACTGAGGCCAGAGGTTGGGAAATTCAGGAGGACGCACTCTGCCTGACCTTAGAGCGGGGAGGGAATAGGCACCTCCATGTAGGCGGGAAGGCAGTTACCTCCCCCCTCAGGAACGTCCCTGCCTGTTCTCCGCAGCGTACCCCGCAACCCTGGACCAGCGCACCTTGCAGGAGGAAACGGCCCTTTACCTGGCCACGTGCAGGGGACACCTGGACTGTCTCCTCTCCCTGCTCCAGGCGGGGGCCGAGCCTGACATCTCCAACAAGAGCCGGGAGACGCCCCTCTACAAAGGTGAGCTGCCAGCTGGGATCCCCGAGGACGCACCCAGGAACCAGGGGCCATCACAAGCTTTGCTCCAGCTATACATACCTGCCCCCAGGGGTTGCTTTGAAGGGGCGGCCTTGCTCCGATGCATAACTCTGGTGATCGAATCTTCTCAGCAGTATTCAGCCAATAGTCCCAAGAGCCGCTGAGGGGCACTGAGGACGCTGATGAACAGACACAAACCTTGTGTCCTCCCAGGGCCGGAGGACATGCGCACAGAAAGTGACCAACAGCTCAGGGGAGCGTGGGGGAGGGGTCTGAGTGGGGGGTGGGGACAGGAGGAACCTATGAGGGCAAGGCAAAGGGCACCGCAGGAGGGAGTGCCTGCCTAGGCCCCTGAACCTGTGGAATTTACCAGCTGGAAAAGCAGAAGAAGCAGCGTGGGCAAAAGTGAAAAGGAATGAGAGAGCACGTGTACCTCTTGGATGTCCAGGGAAGACAAAAGCTCCTCATCACCCAAGGCCTCTCGCTGGCCGCCCTGGCAGGGCCCAGGGTCACAGCTGGCATTTATCGAGCACTTACCGTGTGTCGGGCGGGCAACCACCTTTTTTCTGAACCTTATCTCCATCTACTGCAGGTAGGCCCTGCCAGCACCTAGTTTTACAGACGAGGACCCAAGACGTGGGGACATGAAATGAGGTGCCCAGGCTCACACAGACAGCAAGGGATAGCCTGGGGTTTAAGCTCAGGAGCTGCATGCCAGTGCCATCTTCTGAATTACTAGGCTATAGAACTTTGAAAAACAACAGTGACAGAAGTTCCCTACTTCCCATGTGTCTGATATTCAGCTTCTAGAACATTCTTTGGACAGCAGGAACTGGGTGCGTTATAAACCTTTGGTGGAAGTGTCTTCCCCAGGCCCCATCTTTCCCCCACCCCACACCTACACCCCCCCCAGGACACCAGAGCCACACCAAGCACCTCAGCTCTCCCAGAGTACCCTTGGGGCTTGCCTGCACTCCTGAGGCAGGAGGCCCTGTTTGACACAAGACAGTGGCAGCCCCTCACCGTTCTCACCACCTCTTGCCTAGTGGTGGTTAATTTGGATAAGTGCCAGCTTCCCAGTGCTAACACTGGGCCACAACCAAGGGCACAGTGGGGTCTAGAGAGAGATGAGGCTTAAAAGGGAGGCTGGAGCAGGTAAGAAAGACTTGGTGAGTTGTACTCAGGAGAGAAATTTTACCGCAAATGAAGTGGGTAGGCTTTAAGGAGGGCTTTCGTGAGGAATATGACCTGGTCTCCTCTTCATCTTCTGATCTTGGCAAAGTGGAGGATGAAGCAGGTAACACTGGAAAGGGAGCGGCGTTAGGGACATTCTGGAACATTCTAGAGAACCTGGAGGTCATGGAGATCCTGGTGCGGGGTGGCGCCTAGGTGGAGTCCAAGAAATTCTGGACCCCACTACCTGGCTTGGAATCCCACTTTTGCCACTGACTATCTGTGTGACCCTGGGGAAGTCACTCACCTTCTTTGTGCCTCATATTCGTCATCTGTAAAAGGGGGATACTAACACTACTTCCTTTGAGGGTGCTTGGGAGAATGAAATTACTTACCCCATATAAATTGCTTCAAGCAGAGGGTCTGGCACACTGTGCACACCAGCAGAGATTTTTGAACTCAGTACAGTCCCTTGGGTGTTTGCTGAATGAATGGTGAATGGACAAACGAATGAATGAGGTCTGTGCTGCCGGGGCTGCCAGGCGCCCTGCTGACGACGTGATTCTCCCTGGTCACAGCCTGTGAGCACAAGAACGTGGAGGCAGTGAGGATCCTGGTGCAGCACAACGCGGACACCAACCACCGCTGCAACCGTGGCTGGACCGCCTTGCACGAGTCTGTTTCTCGCAATGACCTGGAGGTCATGGAGATCCTGGTGCGGGGTGGCGCCAAGGTGGAGTCCAAGAACGCCTACGGCATCACCCCCTTGTTCGTGGCTGCCCAGAGCGGGCAGCTGGAGGCGCTGAGGTTCCTGGCCAAGCACGGTGAGTGCCAAGGGCCCCTGGACCTCGGTGTCCCTAAGGGGCACAGCTGGGATGGACCTCAGTGACCAGCTTAAAGGGAAGGGAAATTCGGGCGTCATCTTGTGGAACTTCTCTGAGTGAATGAGGTCTCTTCCTGGAGCGCCGCGTGGAGGATTCTGAGGTTGTGTCTCGGCTCAGCAGGAAACACGTTGAGATCCACTAAACAGCCTGCAACGAGGCACAAACTTAAGGCCATGGCCCAGGTGCGGCTTCTGCCATCTCTAATCTAACCCAACATCCTCATTTTACAAATGAGGACTCCGCAGCCCAGAAAGAGGAAATAGCTTAGGTACAGTCACGTAACCAGTTCAAGGTAGATCCGGCCAGGCTCTCCGTCTCCTGAACCCTAACCACTTCTTTTCCCACCATATCACACTCAGGAGCTTCAGACAACATTGGAGTCACCTCCCCATTTTATTCGTCGTGAATCCTAGGGCCAGGATGGGAAAGTGGTTTGTTTAAGGTCACACAGCAAATTAGTGGCAGAGCTGGGATTTGAACCCAGCTCTCTTTGCCTATGGGAAATCTTTAGCCACTTAAGAGGAGAAGATAAAATCACACTGCTGGCTTTGTGATGCCCTAGTAGCAGAAGACGGAAGCCAGATGTAAGTCTGGATAGTGGGTGGATGTTTCTGTAGGGGACGCAGGACAGTGGCAAACCCTCTCTGGGTTAAAGAGCATTATAATCTGATCTCCCCCCTACAGAACATCATTGATTTCTCTTCTCTCTGCATGGGAAGTTGCCCTCCCTCTCTAGTAACAGAGAGGCCGGGGCAAGCCAGATCCTGGGGCTGGGCTGCAATAATGTGTGAGGACCTACTATGTGCTAGACATTGTGCTAAGCAAGAACACAGAACAGGCCAGAATATCGGGTTTTCTCCATAACTGCATGAGGTAGGTAGTGTCTTCACCCATTTTGTAGATGAGGAGATTGAGGGTCAGAGAGATGAAATGACTGGTCACAGTTGGAGGCTAGACTCTGACGTCATCCATCTCACTCCACACTTCACCCCACCCTACCCCCAACTCCTCGAGAATGGCGGTTGTGGGACTTTGCCTGGATAAGCATCCACTTACTCAGCACGTGCCTGAGCAGTTGGGAAAACAGACCCAAGGCTCCTCCTTGCAGCCAGGGACAAATCTGGCCTGACCAGCTGGAGAACAAAGGGGCACAGGCAGGGTCCTGGGAGCCCAGGCGAGGAGGCTGGGCCGAGGGCAGGGTGCTCAGCGGGCGAGGGAACTGGCTAACTCTAAACATCTGCCCGGCTCTCCTGCTGACACTCGAGTCCGGGTCTGTTCCCTCTGTGGGCCGCGTCCATTTACAAATCTAAATATTTTTCTTGTGTGAGTGGATGGCTTTGCTGGCGGGGCCAGGCTTCCAAGGAGCTCGCCTTTCTAGAGCCGGCGATGTTAGAACTCGGGCTGGAGGGCAGAACCAGCCTGTGCGCTGGGTGCCTCAGGGCTGGAGAAGGGCGTGGGCTGAGCCCCCTCGCTGTGCAGGCGCTGGGCCCACCAGAGACCGGGAGGTTTCCAACTACGGAGGTTCGTGTCCCACCGCTCCAGAGCTGCAGACACTGGCAGGGTTGGGGTCTGGTGAAAGCCTGTTCCTGGTCCCTAGACAACCATCTTCACAGGGTGGAAGTACCAAGGGGTACTATCGGGACAATACCCCAAATCATGAGAACATCCCCCTAAGGCCCAAATCTCCTCTCAAAGGCCCTAACTCCTGACACTGTGACAGTGAGGTGAAGGTTCAACAGATAAATGGCAGGGTGGGGAGGTCACACAAAATTCAGTCCACAGCAGATATTTACCTCCCTATCTCCCCTGTGGTGAGCCAGGTTGGTAAGTACCTTTGTTCCTGCTCAGCAGATGAGGAAACAGGCCCGGGAGGCCACAGAGCTGGCTCGTGAGCCCTAAAACAAACTCAGAGTCTTAACTGCACAAAGCCTTGCTGTTGCCACCGTCCAGAAATTAGTCATCAAAACCAGAACCCGTCGGAAAGCCTGAAATAAGCAGAAAGCCTGGAGAGAGTGGAGCCGTGGTTAAGAGATGCTTTTGATTTCAGCTTTTTCAGACATTTCACTGCTGTCTCAGTTTTATTTCCTTCTAAAATGAGGAGGCGCCAGTGTCCAGGCCCTGCTTCCTTTTGCAGAGAGTCCCATGAGTCCCCTCCACTGCCACCAGGGCGGAGAAGGTCAGGAGATCGGGCAGAGGGTAGACGGTCAGCAGGCGTGACTGTCCCTCCTCTGGCCACGACGGATGTGGTGATTTCCTTGGAGGAGACAGACAGCGAATCCCTCTCATTCCTTGAAATAGAAAGCAGAGAAGAGCAAACCCCAACGACTGAGTTTTTTATCGGGGCCTCTGTGCTCCCGAGACCTGCAGGGCCTTCCTCAGGGCAGGGCTGACTCTACTGTGAAGCGAGGGTTTGGGCCTGGTCTCCGCATCAGGCCATCGGACGCAGCTTCTGCTGTCAGACCATCTAGGTTCAAGTTTGGCTCTTCACTATGAGCCGGGTGGCAAGTGGGGCAGGTCCTCTGTGCTCCAGGGTCCTGTCTGTGACATGGAGAGAAGGGTGGGCCCTGCGTTGAAGAGGTCACTTTGTGGACTCAGAGGCTCGCAGCATGTGCCCAGTGAAGTCAGCACCGCTGGGGCTTTGTCGTCTCTCTAGATCCCACCGAGCCGGCAGCCCCAGGGCCTCCAGGTTGCCAAAGGGGGCTGAGGGCCCTCCAGGGGTCACCTCCCTTCTAAGGTCACCAGTGAATGACGCAGTGGGTCACATGCCTACCACAGGCCAAGGCAGGTGTTACATCAAGGACAGTCACCTCCCCGACCCCTCACTGACCCACCTCTCCTTGACCAGAGGCTGACATCAACACGCAGGCCAGCGACGGCGCGTCCGCCCTCTACGAGGCCTGCAAGAACGAACACGAGGCCGTGGTGGACTTCCTGCTGTCACAGGGCGCTGACGCCAACAAGGCCAACAAGGACGGCCTGCTCCCCCTGCACGTCGCCTCCAAGAAGGGCAACTACAGGTCAGCCCAGCCCCGCCACCCCCAGCCGGTCGAGAGGAGTGGGGTGGGGCCTCCAAACAGCCTGCCTGGGGGACTAGGAAGGCCCAGAAGAGGTCAAAGTGGACAAGAGCTTGGGTGACTTGCCCAAGGGCACACAGGTTGCAGATGGCAGGGAGTCCCCAAATGTCACATCTACAGGAATTCCCCTCAGGGGGCCAGTTACAAGTCTGGACTAGTGGATAGTCCTGGTAGGGGTTCAAAGATAACCCCTTGGGCAATTAGCAAGCGTGCAGGGGGTACTGCTGGAACACAAATAGGACTGATGACAATAGCGAGCTTCTATTGAGCACTTACTGTGTGCTGGGTACTGCGATTGCGATGAGAGGAGATAGGGTGCAATCGGGTGGGAGGGCCGTGGGTGCAGGCACACAGGCACGGGAAGCCGTGACCATCTGTGACGCGGGCTGGAAGCAGCGGTGTGCGTGAGAGAGCCGGCTGCCCCGCTCATCTGGGCCTATTGTTCACACTGGTGGCCTGAAGTTCAAATGGACGCTGATGCCGGCAATCTGGCCCCAGCGGGGGACGGGGGGAGGCTGAAGAAGCGCTGAGCATTTCTCAGGGATGAGCAGGGAGCAAGGCTGGTCTGCTCTGGCACCACTCACATGAAGGATTTATGGTCCCCCAAAGCTTCCTGCCCTGGCTTCATGCTGATCCCGAAGCCATGTTCCTGGTTATTCTACCGCCAGGCCCCAGAGGGGCCAGGACAATTTCCCAGGGTGGTCTGGGTTCCCAGCAGCTTCTGCCACCTGGCAGGGCTCTGGCCAGCCGGGCACTTCGCTCACCCCCTGGGCATGTGGCATTCATGAACCTCACGCGCAGGGATTTGATGTGACATTCCACAGGCATTCCACGCTAGGCACCTGCCCACGCACCCTGCCCTTCCCCGGCAGGGAAGGCCGCTCCAGCAGCTGTCTCGGGGTGGCCAGAGGGTGCATTCTCCTGGGCACATTTCACTGGAGGGTGTGGCATCCAAGAATGGCTGAGAAAGGAGTCCCTGAGACTCCCAAGCCTTCGTCACCCCCAGAGTTCACTTACGCCTATTTTTCATCTCCACTTTAGCAAAGGCGTCTCAGGAAGTGAGAGAGTAACACTTGAGACAGATTTATTAAGAAACTGCTAGACAAGAACAGATGCCCCGAGAGTCCCTCAAGCTGGCTTTAGGAAAACACTGAAGCCAGTGGTTCTCAACCTTGGCTGCCACTGGGAACCCTTGGGAGCTCCCAGAATCCCGAGGCTTGGGCTGCACCCTCAAAGATCCCCATGTCAGCTGTGGAGGCTTGGACGGGGGCTTCAGGGTTCCTAAAAGTCACACAGATGGCTAGGGTCTGTTTTGTAGCTGACATAGCACACAGGCTCGCTTCGGAGACTTCATTTCTGAGCTCCTCATTTTAAAATCTTCTCTTTCACTTGTAATTAAATTATCTTTGCAAGCCGCTTTAACTTCTGGACACCCACATTCTACCCTGGCGTGGCCATCCACCACCTGCCCAGCCTCACTGTCTTCCCTGCCGTAGGCTGGAGCCTCAGTTTCACCCTCTGTAAAATGGGAGGGCTTATGTCCAGCCCTCTGATCTCCAGGCCCTGCACAGTGTTACACATTTACTCTCAGACTGGCAAAGTCTTAACGACAGTGTGAGTAGCCTGCCTTGTTAAGACGATGCCGCTGGGAAACTAGGGAGCGGCCAGCCAGGTCCCCATATTTCAGCCACTTTCCCTGGGTTCGGCAGGGGACTGCTGGAGACCAGCTGGGACCTACCAACCACACCAGCCCTGTCTGGTCAGCGGCCCCGGGCGGCGCCCTTGCTGTTCTTCCCAGCTTGGGCACGTCACGGCTGTGAGGGAGCATTTGTTGGGGATGGCCGAGGTCCAGGGTGAGGCCCCAGCCCTGCCTTCGACCAGCACCTCTCCAGAGCGAGGTCAGCCCGCCTGTGCCTGCACAAATAGAAATTAGGAGGCAATTAGCCCCCTGGGTGTGTGAATTTCCTTTTGAGGTTTTAGAGGCAGATTTTAGGCAAACACAGTGTCACTAACAATAACAATTCTTTCCAGTGAGATCCCAGCGGGGGTTGCTGGCATCAGATTGCCAGGAAGCCAGGAAGCCGGAGTGCCAGGAGGCAGAGAGGCGTGGGAAAGGGCCTGGTGGCACCTGCTTCAGCCCTTGGGACCCACACGGGGCATGAGGTCACCTGTCAGCAGGGATTGAAAGGATTATGTTCCCGAGATGGCAGGAGGCTCGGGGAGCAGAGCAAAGACACGGGGTCACGGATCCTGGAGTCAACCCCCCAGAATTGAGCCATGTCTGTTCCAGGAAGGCCACAGATGGTTGTGGGCACCCCACAGGGCAGCAGAGAAGGTAAAAAGGGGCAGGCAAATTAGCACATCTTGAGGAATGCAAACCCCATGACATATCAGCTGTCACCCTCACTGCTGCACGGGGAGTGGCCAGAGTGTGGCCTTAACTCCAGGGGACGCCAGCTGCCTGGGCCCAAATCCCGGTTCCCTCATTCCCTGGCTGTGTTTCCTTGGGCGAGTCACACATCCTCTCTGGGCTCGTTTCCTCGCCCGTAGGAGAGGATAGTGCTGCACCCACCTCACCCGGATACTGGGCGCCTGCATTAGAGTCATGAAGGTGAGGAGCCCAGAGCAGCACCTGACGGGCACGAGAGAGCAGCGAGGGCCGCGGAAACGTCCAGCCTCTGCAGGGGTGACCAACCCTCTCCAGCCCCAGGCAAGGCAGAGAGCCTGGGGGGGCTACAGCAAGTCAGCCCTCAGGGGAACAGGCTTTGAGACGCCCAGGAGAGGGCAGCCAGCAACCCCCAAGGGCACCGCGGTCTGGGGCCTGGGACAGGAGAGGCTGGGCCACTTGTATCTGTCCTGCTGGTCCCAGGACTGGGGGCTCCACCAGGGCCCCTGGGCAGCCAGACGGAGGTCGCCAGATGACTCAGCCCTGGGCAGAGGAGGTTTGTCTGGCCAGGCCCGTTAGCCCCTCTGCGCCTTCATTTTCTCCTCTGCAGCACGGGAATGGTGAGGCGTGCCCTGGGGTGGCTGCAAAGGCTAAACCAGCTGGTGCTGGGAAAGCTCCCAGTGCACAGCGGGGCCCAGCCGAGGCTGCCCAGCTTCCCCATCCCACTGCCCCAAGGGAGGGCTGGGCTCCCCCGAAATGCCACCACCAGGCTGTACTGCATGGCTGGGGTGGGGTGGGGGTGTGTGGAGGGGGAGCCCCGGGGACACCCCTTAGGTTTGGGAGCCTTCCAGGCCATCCCTCCGGATCACAGGGTGCAGAAAATGTCAGCAGGTGACCCTTGAAACCATAGGCCCAGCGTGGCTGAGCTTCTTGGGAACTCAGGCTTTGGGGGTCAGGGAATCCGAGCTGGAAGGTCCAGCCCTGGCGGGCTGTGTGGCTTGGGGGCCTCTGGGCCTGTTTGCTGGTCCCCCTCCCGGCGGAGTGGGGCGCGCTGGCTGGTCCCGGGGCACCGGCTCGCCCGCCGCGCCCCTGGTGACCTCTGCGGGGGGGGGGGGCTCTGCGCCCTGTGACCCGCGCCCCGCCCCCCGCAGGGTCGTGCAGATGCTGCTGCCGGTGACGAGCCGCACGCGGGTGCGCCGGAGCGGCATCAGCCCGCTGCACCTGGCGGCCGAGCGCAACCACGACGCGGTGCTCGAGGCGCTGCTGGCCGCGCGCTTCGACGTGAACGCGCCGCTGGCGCCCGAGCGCGCGCGCCTCTACGAGGACCGGCGCAGCTCCGCGCTCTACTTCGCCGTGGCCAACAACAACGCGCGCGCCACGGAGCTGCTGCTGCGCGCCGGCGCCCACCCCGACCCCGACCGCGACGCCATCCGGCCGCTGCTGGTGGCCGTGCGCCACGGCTGCCCGCGCACGCTGCAGCTGCTGCTGGACCACGGCGCCGACATCGACGCGCGCGTGGCCGCGCACCCCACCGCCTTCCCCGCCACCATCATGTTCGCCATGAAGTGCCTGTCGCTGCTCAAGTTCCTCCTGGACCTCGGCTGCGACGGCGAGGCCTGCTTCTCCTGCCGCTACGGCAGCGGCGCGCACCCGCCCGCCCCCGCGCGCGCCGCCGGGCTCCGCGACGCGCCCGCCAGCCCCGCCGACGGCAAGGCGCCCTGCGCGGTCCAGGTGAGGGGGGGCCCCCCGACGCGGCAAGGCGCCCTGCGCGGTCCAGGTGAGGGGGGGCCCGACGGCAAGGCGCCCTGCGCGGTCCAGGTGAGGGGGGGCAGACGGCAAGGCGCCCTGCGCGGTCCAGGTGAGGGGGGGGCCCCCGACGGCAAGGCGCCCTGCGCGGTCCAGGTGAGGGGGGGGGCAGACGGCAAGGCGCCCTGCGCGGTCCAGGTGTGCGAGAGGGGGGGCGACGGCAAGGCGCCCTGCGCGGTCCAGGTGCGCGAGGGGGGGCCCGACGGCAAGGCGCCCTGCGCGGTCCAGGTTGGGGGGGGGGCGGGGGCGGGGGGAGGAGCCGGCCCGCGAGGCTTCTAGCGGAGGCGGCGCGGGCTGGTGGCCGCACGCTCGGGCGCGCCCGTGGTGACCCACTTCGGAGACGGGTACCGGGCGGCTAACGAGCTCTAGCAGCAGCAGAACTCAGGGGCTCATGGGAACAATTGAATTGGGGGGCACTGCTCTCTTGGGGGACTGAAGGAGCAGGGAGGCAACGCGGCGCAATGAGGGTTCCTCACGCCCCCAAACCGCCACCTGGCATGCAGGGTTGAATGACCCGGAGCAGGTGGAGGCGAGAGCCGCTGGCGTTTGGTCAGGCGAGGTGCAGAGGCGGGGGAGCTGCCGGCGCTGCCCACGGGATGGCGTTCAAAGCCGAGCCGTGGAGGAAGGGAGGCACCCCCTTCTCCGGGGAGAATGCTCACGGCCAGCGGCCACCGTGAGCCACCTGCCGTGTGCAGAGGCACCGCGCGTCCCCTTGGTTCTGTTCCCGTGTTCTGGACAGGGAGGCTGAGACTCAGAGAGGAGATGGTCTTGCCCACGGTGCCCGCCACCCCCTTGGCGGCGGAGGCTCCGGCCGACGAGCGGGGGTGTGACGCTGGCACATGGTGCCTTGCCCTCGCCCTCCCAGATTCTCACCTGTCGGACGGGCAGCACCCCGGGCCCGGGCACTCAGCACAGGTGTGTCTTTCAGTTCTGCGAGATCCTGTCCACCCCCGAGGTGAGCCGCTGGGCAGGGCCTATCATTGACGTCCTGCTGGACTACGTGGGCAACGTGCAGCTCTGCTCGCGGCTGAAGGAGCACATCGACAGCTTTGCGGACTGGGCGGTCATCAAGGAGAAGGCAGGTAGGGCTGTCGCCGCTGCGGCGCCTGGCGGGCCACCGCCCGGCGGGCCTGGTGCTAACGCTCAGTGAGCTCTGCCCGTGCCAGGCTCTGAGCGGAGTCGCGTGCAGGTGTCTCGGTGACTCTGTCTTGTAAACAAGATGACCCTCAGAGAGACTGTCACCTGGACCAGCCCCCCCGCACCTCCCCGGAGAGTTAGCGGCAGATTTGGGGATCAGACCGCGGTTTAACTGCCCCAGAGCCCTTCCCTGAAGTCTGTCCGGGATGCTGTAAACAGTTCCAGCTCCCTGAAGGAGGTGGGGACTTTGGAGCAAGTTGCCCATGTTTGTGCAGCAGTGTGCAGGGGGAGTGGAGGGCCGGGGGTCCCAAATGGTTGGGGGGCATACGAGGCACCTGAGCGTCTTGTTAAAAATACAGATTCTGGGCAGCGCATCTGGGGCAGGGCCGGGAACCTGCATTTCAGCAAACTCCCGGGTGGGCCACGGGCCACACCTGCAGCAGCACTGGCCCCGGGGGCCCCTAAGCTCTGGAGCCAGGGGTTCGCTGGGTGGCCAGTACCAGGGCATCCCACTGGGCCTCATCACCCCCCTCTGAGGAGAGCAGGTTGGTGGTTTCTCATCCAGCCACTGCCAGCTCTGCCAGCCTAAGGGGTTTGCAGGAGGGCGTGCCAGGCGCGGGAAGCAGGGTTTGTGCAGTGTAGTGGGGCAGCCTGGCTAGGTGAGGCCAAGTCCCTCTTGGGCTTCGTAGAGCGCACCCGGGCAGGTGAGGAGACGGTGGTCACACCGCACGCTGCAGCTGACACCAAACAACAGGCCCCTGCCCGGAAGAGGCACAGCTCTTCCCCGGGGCTTTCTCTGACTCTGGGGTGTCCCGGGTACAGTCCTCTCTGGCCAGTGTTTGTCAGTCGCGTTGCGCAGACTGACCTGCAGTGCCTTTTCGTCTCGCTGCTGCTGTTGGCCCAGGTGGGACTGCTGGCCTGCGGCCTGTCGTGGCCCAGGAGCCCCGGGATTCAGTGCCCTGACTCCTTGTCACGTTCTGCCTCCGTCCTGTGCCCGTTTGAGCCCAGCTGAGCGTAGGATTTGTCGCTTCCCCCGTAGCCGGGGGAGCCCTTGAATTCAAGTCCTTGCTAAAGTCTCTTGGCGCGTGACAGGGAGGTGGCATCGAATTGCCACACACTCCGGGCACGGCTCTCGACACTCAGTAAACAGTCACTGAATTCATGAATAATTGGTGACTGCCACCCTGATTCTTGGCCACTAGAGGGTGGAGCGGCCATGCTTGGATGCTGGAGCCCCCCCCCCCCAAGGTCCCCTGCTCCTGCCCACCTAGAGAAGGGTGGTCTGTAAGTCGTAGGCACTAGGCCGTGTCCCAGGGGACAGGTGCAAACTCCATCCGTGTGTGTAGACAGTGCTGCAGAGCCTGGCCTCCCTGCCCACGTCCACGGCCCCTCTGCACCCCCCCTTCCCTGGGCAGCCTCCTGGGGTTGGGCCTTCTGTCTCCCTTGCATGGAATGCACCTGTCTCTCTTCCTGCCCGCCTGCTGAGAAACTCCACTGCAGGAGGCATCCCAGGGCCCCTCCTGGGAGAGGTTTCTGGGACGTGCTGGGAGCTGCCCCATCCCCACCCACCGCCCCTCCGGCCATTCTCACCACCCTGCCCGCAGCCAGAGTCGAAGTCCCTGCTTGGGGGACACTTAGGAGGTCGGATTCTGACCCCCTGGCTCAGAGTGAGTTGGGGAAGGCGCATGAGGCCAGGGAGGTGCCAGCTCCCGTGCCAGGAGTGACTAAGTCCTCACCTGTGAAATAGGTCGGGACCTGCCCTGTCAACTTCTTTGGGTTGTGCAGGTCACGGAGGGGTGACATGTGGAAGGTGCTTTGCCCATCTTTCCGGTTGGCAGGGACCCGGGTTGCCCGGCTTGGGGAGTTCGTCACCCCCCTTACCACCCTTACGCAGCCACGTGGGCAGGGCACCTCCCACAGACCAAGGGCCGTGGAAGCAAACCCTTTTCCAGTGGCAAGTGACCAATCAGCATTTCTCCTTTGCTCCTCTTTCCAGAACTTCCGAGGCCTCTGGCCCACCTCTGCCGGCTGCGGGTTCGGAAGGCTGTGGGGAAGCACCGCCTAAAGCTGCTGGACACGCTGCCGCTCCCGGGCAGGCTCCTCAGATACCTGAAATACGAGAGCATGCAGTAGCCGGTCGCGGCCGGGGTGACGCCTCGGACTCGTCGCGCAGTCTCGGGATGGGGGTGTCCCGAATCTAAGGGGAGCTGGTGGCGGACAAGCCGGGGGGCTGGCTGCCTCTGAGCACGGCCCCGCCGCGGTCTCCAGGTCTCTGGCCAGAGCTTTGCCCCGAGAGAGCAGCATGTCTCGAGGAGGAGAAAAACCATGAGGATCCCCGAACTTCTCTGCCATCGGGACTGGGCCTGAGAAAGGGGGGCAGTGCAGAACTTGGGGTGGTCTGGCTGCAGCTGCAGGACTTTCAGCCACGAGTCTGCCTTTCTTGGACAGGCTGAGCTGTCCCCATGGCCCTCCCCCTTTGCGCTGAGACTCCCCTTGACAAGCCCCGAGGGGGGCGGGGAGCTGGGGCCCAGAGGGCTTCCTTAAGCACAATAAATGTACCCACGCCACCTGCCTCCCTCCCTCGCCCACCCTCCTCCACTGTCCTCTGCCCTGTCCCCCGGCCCCCACCCCGCCCCACCCTCCCCGGGGCCTCAGCCCTGCTCCTGGTGGCAGGAGGATTGGCCTGGGCGCAGGGCAAATCGGTTCGGGTTTCTGAAAGCCTGAGAGGGCGTGTCCATTCCCTGGGAGAGCCGTGGCCCAGGAGGGGCAGGTGTGTGGGCACGTAGGGTTTTGTTTCCAGTTCAGTCACCTTGGGAACAGGACCTTCACCGCAAACAGGGGCTCTGGACCTGCGGAGCTCGGCACCCTGGCGCGCACACGCTGGGGACGGCAGCCATGGAAGCGGAGCAAGTCCTCACACAACGCCAGCGGGTCCTGGCAGTGACATACAAGGAGGTGACTGTGCTGAGGACCGGCTCTCCTGGCTGCCGCACGGAAGGTGCTGGAGTGATGTCGGCCCACGCAGAGTTCCCCGACTGGCGCGTTCGTGAAGCCCTGACCCTCCCTTGCCGCCTCCTGTCCTCCTGTGGCTCCATTTTCAGAGAGCCGGGGAGAACACTGAGGTCCTGGCAGAGTCTAGCGCGGCTCACGGCTTCCATGTTTCCATGGATTACGGTGACCGCGCAGCCTTGTGGTCACGCGTGATTAGAGCCGCTGGATCCAGGCCACTCTGTGGTGGCACCAGGCACACCACCTCCCCAGGAGCCCACGCCGGCCCAGCCTCGGATCCTGGAGGCGTAGTGAGGTGACACCGGAAGGCGCCCCTGGGCAGGCGGGAGCAGCACTGGGTCAGGCCCTGCACTGCCATCAGCTGAGGTCCTGGGCCCGGGTTCCTCTTTGGCGCGGTGGGACATGGTGGTCTCTGGTGGCCCGGGCACATGGGCTTTTCACCAACCCAGGCAGCCGGTGTCTGCTTGAGGAGGAAAACTGCCAAGAGGCACTTCCCCACCAGGGCTCGGAGGGAACAGCCCCGTCTGGTGCCCAGACGGGAGAGCAGCCCCGGGAGGGGAGGGCTCTCCCTGGGCGCACACAGCATCTGCCCCGGGTTCTGGCTTCCCCACAGTCCCCAGCTGACTTGCGGGGTGACCCATGAGCCCAGTGCCCTGGGGTGTTCAGCCCGAGGGCCCAGGGGAAGCGGCCATGGAGGGTTCACTGGGAAACCTTGACTGAAAAACACCTTTGCTGGCCGACAGCTACGGAGAGGCCCTCAAGTCTCCACGCGGAGCTGCGGTCCGTGAAGGGACAGGGCGGAAGGGATGGGTTGGGGTGGGGCCGGGCACCAGACCAACTCTTACACTAGGGCATTGACGTCCTGAGGCCTGGCAGGCAGGGGCCACAGGCCCAGGCAGGGTGGGGAGACTGGCCCGAGAGAGGTGCCCCACTGAGGAGAAGAGGCTGAGAGGTAGGTGGGAGGTGTGGGGAAGGAGGGCGCAGCCCGGCATTCCCAGGGGCACATTCGTCTGTAGGATGTGGGGCCCCTGGGCCTGAGGGGGTGGGCTCCTTTGGGTTCTTAGATTGCTGGTGCATGTCCACAGCCATTGCTCACAGCCCCTTACCTGGCCCCCAGGTGTCTCACCTGGCCTTGACCTTAGGTTCCTCACAACCAGCAGGTGAAGGGTTAATGCCCGCCTGGGGCCAGTGCCAGTGGGTGGTGCTCAAGCCACATCTGGTGGTTACATTTCTGGGCTTCACTGCTGCCCTCACCCTCTGAAGAAGCCTCCGCCCCCCACGCCACACTCACCCAGGGTGGGTTTCTGCCTGGGCTGCTCCCCCAGAATCACCAAACACCCCGGGAGCCTGCCGGGAGCACTCACGAGGGCCAGCACGGTTGACCTGCCGGTGGGGGCTGAGACTGGGCAGAGGGGAGCCCCCATCTCACGGACAACCAGCAGAGTTCACTGTTCTGTGTCCCACGCACAGAGCGTCTGCTACTGCTTGTGCTGCTTAAAAAGAAAAAAAAAAAGGAATGGAGTCTCCTGTGTGTGTTTCCCCAACTTGCTTCCACGTGGGGACTCGTGGCACCGAGTTTCTGCTGTGCCTCATCTTGGCAAGGAGATTGAGGTGCCCAGCGTTTGGGTAGCCAAGTCCATAAACACTGACATGTCAGCGCAGCAGGCCCCACGGGGGCCACCGGGTAACCGGGATGGGGGCTTTGGTGGGGGCAGCTGTCCCCCACTCGTGCAGTACTCAGAATGCCACCCCCACAACGACCCCAAAGCAGGCAGGCTCAGTTTTATGTTTTTCCCACGAAGGAACTGGCACAGAGAGGTTAAGGAAGCTGCCCAGCGTCACACAGCGGGCAGGTAGGTAGCTGAGGTCAGATTAGAGCCTAAACACCCTGAGCTCCGATTAGAGCTTTAACACCCTGTAACACCCCACCAGAGTGATCCATGCCGAGGCCGGAGTCTTGGAGTGCCCGGGAGAAGAGGCCACCCCCCACCTTCAGACCACAGCAGCCTGCGATGGGGCTGCCGGCAGAGGACTCCCTGCCCCGTCCTCAGACGGCTCAGCTTGTCACGTGGCCTCCAAGCCCTTAGTGAGCTGCCCCTCCACGTGGATGCCCCACTCCAGGGCAATCCTGGGCTGAAAACAGGCAGGGCAGGAAGGGCCCTTTGCAAGCGCTAACCCCGGAGCCCTGTGTTCGAGGCTTCTGAGGCCATCCATGGCCGAGAGCCAAAGGAGGGGCCCAGGACCTCGAGATGATGCGGCCGATCCTTGCTCTCCTTATCAAGTCCACTGCTTGCAGAGGAGGAAACTGAGGCACAGAGGGAGATGAACCTGTTCAATGTCGCTGCTTATCAGGGCGCCCCAGTGCTCGGCCAGGACTGGCCGGGAACCAGACCCGTGGAGAGCTGTGCTTCGGGTCAACAGCGCCCAGCCCCCGCCGGCCCCCCGCCGTCTTGCCGTGGAGCCACATCCACACTCTCCCTGCGCCCGCGGGCAGGGGGAGGCCCCTCCAGGGGCTTCGCTAGTTGGGCACCATGAGAGCAAATCCCAGGGCCACTCCCTGCCATCCGTGTCCCCCTGTTGTAGAGTCACGGCAGAGGCCGGCGTCCTCCATTTGTGGGGCGCCTGGTGTGCCAGGCTCTGGGAGAGCCCCTGCAGCAGGCGATCCAGGAACCGCGGCACCTGAATCAGCGAGAGCGCGTCTGCCCTTCCTCCTTTTTCTTGGCGATGGGCAGAGAACCCAAGACTGCTTCCTCTGGTCAAACGACTCATTATTTTGTCCAGAGGGGCCCAGCCCCCCTTTGACCTGATTTTCTCGCCGGCTGGGGTCGGGCATGACCTTGGCTTCTGCTCTGAGGCTTCAAGTGGCGTGGAAGTGGCCTCGGCGGGATCGGGGGGGCCATTCTCCACCCACCCCCGTCCTGCAGGTGGTGCAGGAGGCTCTGAGAGGGGGGAGTGGAGGAGCCGGCCCTGCATCCGCAGCAGAACCAGGCCCCAGGTCCTGCCTCTCCACAGCAGCCCCCCGACTCTCCAGGGGCCTCTGCACCCCGGGATCCTGGCCTTGCCCAGCCCGGTCCTCTGACCCAGGAGCCAGAGTGCCCTTCCTTGGGAGCTGGTCGCGCCTCCCCACTTTGAGCTGAGCTCACCCTGTGCCCACCCCGACCTCCCAGGGTCGCTCCTGGCCTCCACGGCGCCCTGGGCCGGCACAGCCAGAACCTCCCTAGGCTTCGCCCAGCAACTTCAGGACACCCGAGATGTGGAAACTGCAAAAGAAATGTCTTTATTCTTTTAACTTCTTAATATTTACAAAGAACAAAAAAGAACAGCAACTGAGGTCGGCGTACACGGTGGGCGGCAGGTGGACAGACGCGCGGCTCGGGGCGAGGCCCCGTCCCCTGAGGTCGGCGCGGGGACCACAGGGGGATCTGCTGGGTTGAGGAGGCTGGGAGGGGCCGTCGAGCCCTGCCCCACAGCGCCCCAGGCTGCAAGGCAGACTCGGGACTTCCTGAGAAGGCCCGGCCCGCTCCTGCCCTGCCCGCCCGTCCGCGCCAAGGAAGCTCTCTGAGGGGCCACACCGCTGCCTAGCCCGCTCCCCACAAGGGGAGCTTCGGGGCCCCAGCACCCTGTGGGCCAGAGGTGGGTGCCCAGGCTCCCCACAGCCCGGCTAGAGGTAGCCGAAGACATTGAAGATGGGCGGGGGCACGGCCGGCTTGGTGGGGATGGGCTTCAGAACCACGGGTCTGTGCACTTTCTGCCCCAGGCCGTCCATGCCCTTGCAGAAGTGGGCCAGCTCCGCGGGGGGCGCCGCGCTTTTCCTCCACAGGCCCAGGCTGGGGACCGGGCTCTGTGGCAGGGCCCCGGGAGGGCCCGGGTAGATGGGCTGTCCATGGTACTGGAAGGGGCAGCAGCTCCAGGCATTGACTCGGCCCACCAGGGAGACCCCAGGCATCTTGAGTGGCTCCTTGTCAGCCAGTGCCCTCGGGGACAGGGGCCCCGGGACTGTCTCAGACCCCAAGGGCTCCAAGCCCTGGCAACATTTCTTACCCTCATAGGGAGGTCCCTCCCTAGGGCCCAGTGCCCCCTCCAGCCCCACGGGGTAGCTGTGGGTGGGCCTCGGCTCCTCCCAGAAGGAAGCGGGCAGCTGTCTTTTCCTCATGGGCACCTGGCCAGGCCTGGCAGCTTCTGGATTCTGCCCCTGCAGGGTCTGCTCCTTAGAGAGACATTCCTCCCCGTAGGGGTTCCCCAGAGCCTTCTCCTGGCAGCCCCCACCCCCACTGGGGCTGGAGTCGGGGCCAGAGTGGAGGGGCAGCCTCCCAGGCCGGTCCTCAGGGCCCCTTTTCAGGTGAGGCTCAGCGCCTCTGCCGGGGAGGCCCCGAGGGAGCCGGGAGTACTTCTGGGAGAAGCGTTTGAGCTGCTTCTGCAGGTACTTGCGGTGGTCCACGGAGCGGCGGCACGGCGCGGACTTGTCCAGGGCCGCCTTGATGTCACTGGACGCCAGGTTCACAAAGTTCAGCAGCATCTTCACGTCACTGTCGGATGCCATCACCAGGGGGCCGCTGCTCGGGGCTTTCCATGAAGAGGGCGGTTTGGCTGGTGGCAGGCGGCTCCAGAGAAGTGCACAGAGCTGACCTGGAGGCCACAGTGGGGCATTGGAGCCTCCCCGGGCAGCCACAGCCCAGCACCCCCAGGCCCCACCCCCCTCAGCCCTGCCAGAGACCTGGGTCATAGGACGCCCGCTCGAGCCAATGAGCGCATCCGGGGGGGACAGGTGCCCACGGCACCTCATTTCATCTCCGTGGGCCTGCTGTGCCCAGGAGCAGCTGAGGCTCAGAGAGGTCAGGCCACTTGTTCAAGGTGACTCAGCTACAAGTGGCATTGCTGATGCTGGGGCACAAGTCTCCCCCACACCATGCTGCCAGCGGGTGCAACTTGCCAGCTAGTTTCTCAGCTGCAGGGACAGCTCAGCTTTAAAGCCAGGCCAAGCCCCCTTCTCCCTGGTGGTGCCCTGCTCCTCCCACCCCAGCCCCAGCCCTACTGGCATCAACCCCCCCTTCTTCGGGCCCCACGCTCCACCCCCAGGCAGGACAGGAGGACCCCTGTCTGGCACTCCAGCCCGGCCTGCCTGGCAGGCTGATGGCAGGCGGCGGGCCGTGGGGACTCCCCCCTAGAAGCATCTGCAGCAATTTCATGCCTGCTCGGCCACCACCCGCCGGACCTTGGCCCTCCCACAGGCCCCAGCCGGCCCCCACCCAGTCCAGCCACGGCTGCCCAGCTCCACACTGACCAAGGGTGCAGGCCCCGGGCCCCCGCCAACGTGGCCCGGCAGGTTCCCGCCGCAGACCTGGGCCGGGCCCAGCGCAGCCGGCGAGCTCCGTCCGTCAGGCTGGTGCAGCCCTCGAGTGGGCTGAATGGAGGACGAGTCCCCGGAGCTGGGGGGCCCCTCAGGCCAATCAGGAGCGCCTCTCCAGATACAAAGCATCCCAATCAGGCGGCAGCGCCCCGTTCCCACATTCTTTGCCGTCACAAATTGTCACCATGGGGACCATCACAAAAAAGACAGCTCCCAAATGCAATCATTTCCCGGTAAATTTCTACCCTTCAGCCCTGCTCTCCCCCCGGCCTCCAGGGCCCTCCTCCCCTTGACCTCGGTTCCCTGGTTTCTCGAGGGGTGTGTGTGCGTGCGTGCGTGTGTGCGTGTGTGTGTGTGTGTGTGTTTAAAAAGTCCAGGGTCGAGGAGGGGCTGGACCCAGAAGAGATGGGCTTGCAAACCTCCCCAAAGACACCAGCTCCATGCTCCAGTGCAGACAGACAATCGGACAGGGTAAGCCGGGGCGGGCTGCTTTCCCGCTGCCCTTGAGTGTTGAGTGGTGTTCTCTGTCCTCTCTCACTTCTCTCCCCCCCACCCCCCCCCCCCCCGCCCAGTCTCTCTCTGTCTCAGCCTCTCTCTGTCTCTCTCTCTGAGCACTTGGAGGCCTCCGAGGGCGGCCGGCACACCGATGTTGCTGGAAAGGTGGCCGGGCGAGGACGCCTAACGAGGTGCCGGGATATCCATGGGAAGGTTGCCGGAGCTCTCAGGAATCTTGTCTTTATGTTTGCTTCCTCAATTGAGCTGCACAAAGCCTGAATTGCCCATTCAGCGCGGCCGGACAAAAGGTTGGCGTTGCACGGTCCCCTTGCATTTGTAGTCAAACAGTTAGGGACTTAAATCGAGTCGTCATGATGGAGAAAGAGGTGGACAAAGCCCATAGAATTGCCATCAGCAAACATTTTCCTGTGTCATATTAGCCAGTCTCCATGGCTCCCCCCGGCCTGGGGACAATGGCACAAGTTTGCACACTTGGCTACTGTCACCGTGCCAACGCCGGCGGGGCCGCAAGCAGGGCCGCTCTGAGCGAGCGAGGGAGCCGAGAGCCGGCCCTTGGCCCTGCCCACGGCTGGCCAGACGCAAGGTGAGGCCGCGGGCGGAAGGAGCAGCCTGGGAAATGCCTGGCATGGCAGCCGGTTGGGGGGTGGAGGGGGCCTCCCCCCTCGCTCCTCGTGCTCTCCCCTCTTCTCCTGCTCCTCGTCTTCCTCTTTCTCCGCTCCCCTCCTCTGTCACCTTGTCCTGCCTCCCGAGCTACACACCAACCCGCCCCTTGGCGACACCGACAACCCAAAATGCCAAGGACGCCTCTCTGAAGTCCACCCCCTCAGACTGGGAGCGCAGGGAGGACGGGGCCAGGGGCTCCCCCAGGAGCGGTGGCCCCACCCCCTCCTCGCTGGCCAATGGACAGCTACTGCTGGCACGAGGCGCCTGCCCACCGCGTCCTGGCCCCAAGCCACCTCCCCGCTGGCCCGAGGGCGCCTACAAGCAGAATGAAGGGCCCGGTAACTCAGTGGAGGCATTTAGAAGCGGTGCCTCCCAGGCCCTGCTGTGGGGTCAGGGAAGCAGGGCCTCGGATGGAGGTGTCCTCGGGCAGGGGTGGCCTGGATCACCGGCCATCTCGAGTCCCCGACAGTAGCTTTCATCCGCAGCGGCCTTCTCCCGGGTAAGAGCGAAACCATTTTCATCTGACGCTCCTGAGATTTGGGGGTTATTTGTTTCTGCAGCATCACCGAGCCCACCCTGACTGGTTCTAGAGGTTTCCTTTCTGCTCCAAACTGCTCTGCACAAGTGACTGGAGAAAACGTCCTGGTGTCCTACGGCCCCAGGTGAGACTCCAGCCGCCTGCTGCCTGGGGGCCTGGGCACACAGGGGGTCAAAACCACCCATCACCCAGCACCAGCCCACTGCACCACCTCCGTGGTCATTCTCTGCTGGGAGCCTGCCTCAAACGGTGCAGCCCCACCCGCCCTGACCTCCCACACTCTCCCGTCTGCTCCTGCCGGCCCCTCCCTGGAACACCTTCCTCCGAAGAGCGCGGAGACATTCTCCAGCTCCCCATCGGGATCGCTGCTCCCTCCCAGCTTCCACGCCTGACCCTGGAGTCACTCCGCCACCCCGGGCCTGCCTGTGCGGTGTCATCCCCTCGCTTCTCGGCCAGTAACGAAGCCACACCAGGTCGGGAGCCTCCGGGAATCACAGCTTCCAAGTCTTTCCACAGCTGTTACCATGAGCGGTTTTTCTACCAAAGACCCTTGGAGGAAAGGGGGACGCAAGGGAGCAGCAGGAGGAAGACAGGGGAGAGGAAGTGGAATAAAGGAAACGGACACTATGTGCCAAGAGCCAGGGTCGATGATCACCCCGGAAAGACCCCACCTGCCCTCGGGCAGCTCTGTAAGGTACTGATGTCATTTACAAACGAGGAACCTGGGGCCTCCCTGGTGGCATCTGCGGTTGAGCGCCACGCTTGGAAGCTGTCCGCAGCCTCAGCAGCGGGGTTTGATCCTGGCCGGCCGGCGAGCATCCCACATGGCGCGGCAGACCTCTCCTGTCTCGCCCGCTGCTCCCCTCAGCAGTGGATTTCGCGCCGTCTGCCTGTTCTGTTCCCCACTCTGTCTCTGGTGAATCCTCTCACCCCCCGCAACTCTGGCCTGTACCCCGGTTCTTGTATAAATAAAGAAATCTTTTTAAAAATAAACAAAAACAAATGAGGAAGCTGAGCTCAGGTTACTCATCCAAGGCCTTACAGCTGCTAACTGGTGGAACTTGAACCTGCAGCAAACCTATCGGCAAGCCAAGCTCCCGCCCATCCCACGGTGGCACCTTGCCGCTTCCCCAAGCTCCTACCATGTGCCAGCCATTGCCTAAGTACTGTCAGGTTTGAAAGAATCACAGACCAGATTTTCTACACAAATCCTAGTTTCAGTTCTTCTACCCTTCTTTTAGAGTGTAACTCAACCTCCAACCCAGGAATGCAGGAACTGCAGCTCTGGGAGAATTGAGGGAAGAAGCCCTGTTCAAAACATCTCCTCCTCCAGCAAGCCTTCCACCAACTCCCAGCATTATTAATGACACCTTCCTCCATGGCTTTAAACGGAAGTCTAACCTCCTTGGTTTAATACAGAAGACCTCTTATAATTTGACCCATATTGACAGCTGGCCCAGAGTACCTTCTCACCAAATGTTTCATGAATTAAATGCTGTGTCCATTCCACTGAACTGAATGTATTCAGTGGACTGGAAACAACTGTTCCTGTCATTTTGTAGTATATGCCCTATCTGCCCACCCACCTCCACCTACCTAGGTGAGCTTCACAAGAACAGGGAGCTTGCCTGCTGGTTCGCCTATACTCCAGTCTCTAGAAAGGCCTTGGCACAGAGTAGGCCTTAGCAAGGGACTCTTGTGTTTCACAGACAGCCTGTGCGCCCATGGGATGGCAGGAGCCTGGAGAGCAGGAGGTGCTGTCTCAAGTCCCATCGCCTGCCAGGCAACTGAGTTGTGCTGACTTGAACTTGAGGCGCCTTCCTGACCACCTGTTGTTGCTGCTGTGTTCATCCCACCTCAGATTTATTCACACCAGTCAGCAAGTACCCTCGAGGTGCCAGGGGGCATAGAGGAGGGCTTGCTGAGCTGGCTCCCCTGACCCTAAGGAGACTTTTGGAGGAGAGATGGAATTTGTCTTTTGACAGGGTGCTTGCCACATGCCCTTTTCTTGCCACATGCCCAACCAGCAAGACAGAATGACACCCTAACTCTCCTTGTGCCCTGAAAAAACTGCAGCCACTCACCACAATCTCTCATGTCGTCACACATAATCAATCCCCTTCTAGAATTTAGCCAAAGCAGACGCAAGAGGAATGAGCGGCAATGACAGGCTTGGCCAGGCCAGGGGGCCTGGGGCATCTGGGCGGCGACTGCTTGATTGCTGTAAAGTGAATCTTCAATGGAGCAAGCGAGCGAGTGAGTGAGTGTGAGTGTGTGTGTGTGTGTGTGTGTGTGAGAGAGAGAGAGAGAGAGAGAGAGAGAGAGAGAGAGAGAGAGAGAAGGGTTTTTAGACCATTCATCTTTTATTTTTTTCTTAAAGATTTATTTATTCATTTATACAAGCACTGGGTACAGTCAGAAGCGCGGGAGGGTGAGAGAATTCACCAGAGCCAGAGCGGGGAGCAGAGCAGGCAGACTGACGAAACACACTGCTGAGGGGAGCAGCGGGCGGCAGGAGAGGTCTGCGCACCATGTGGGACCCTCGCCGTTGGCTGGGGATGAACCGGTGCTGCAGACGCTGCGGGCAGCTTCACAGCCCAGCGCTCAACCACTGTGCCACCAGGGGAGGCCCATAGACCATTCATCTTTTAAATAGCTACACATGAGCTTAAAGGAAAATTTCACATTTTTGTCAGACGTTCAGTCCCCAGAGGCAGGCCACCTCCCCATTTTAGAGGTGAAGAAAGTAAGGCCCAGACAGCAGTGGCGAGTCACCCAAGGAGGCAGAGGGGGCAGCAGCAGGGCCAAGACGGCTGCCCAGGCCGACCTGACCACCGAGTGGAGTCCGGAGCTTGGAGCCAGCCAGCTGCCCACTGACCCATGTGGGTAAGTAGTCGGGACCCTGCAGGGAGCCACAGTTTCTCCCCAGCCTCTAAGGTTACTTTTTGGATATGGAAACTGAGGCACAAATCAACTAGGAAGCTGCCGAGGTGCTCTGGTCAGCGGATGGCAGAGCAGGGGCTGGGACGTACCTGCCAGACCCAGGCCTGGGAGGAGCCCACTGTCAGGGTGGCTCCTGCTGACAACCGAGCCTGGCTGGCCAGACGCCCCCCAGGGGCCCTGCTAGCCCAGTGGCCACCCACCTGCCCCAGCCCTCCCTGCCTCTCCCAGCCTGAAAAGTTCGGTCTGACTGCAAACGACATACAAGGCCCTGTCGGTTCAGCAGCTCTGCCAGCGACATCACAAGATGGTTTATGTAACCCCCTTACGTAATGGGGTGTTTCCATCACAGGCTAGCCCCAGGCATGCTGTCAGCCATCATCAGGATGGACCGGCTTCCTACCTCCTTGCAAAGGGAAGCATCAGGTTGAAATAAACCCCTCCGGTGCCGGGCTGACCGAGGGCTTCCCGGCCTGGCAGTCTCACCTCACAGCCAATGCTGCTGCCTTGGAGCAGAGGAGACCCCAAGAAGTCATAACCCCACTCAGCGAGGCCCCACACCTGACTGCAGGGACAGAAGCAACCAGCGGTGGGGTCTGGTCTCACTTTCACCTGCCAGCGCCCCCACCAAGCCTGGCTCGGCACACAGGTCATCCGCTTTGGGACTGGGGATGAATTTGTTCCTTCAGTCAGAATCAGTTCTCCATGTCACAGGCTACCCCATCTGTCTTCTACTGGGGGGCTGGGCAGTACCTGAGACATGGGGACACTTTAGGGACTTGTGAAGGGTGAAGCCCATCCCTCTAGGAGGCGGGGGAGTGGGGTAGGAGGCGCTCTGGTGTCAGAAATACCTGGGGCAGAAATGGCGCCCCAACTTTGGGACATGGGTGGGCCTCCCAATAACCCCAATTGTCAGTTCTCCCCTGGGTGATGTGGGGACAGGGAAGGCAGTGTGGGACTTCCAAGCGGGGCCTGTGCTTGATGGTTCCAAAGCACGGACTGAGCCCCTACCATGTGCCAGGCGTCCTGCAGCTAAGGGAGCCAATGGGACACCGTGGGCCTAGCAAACGGGGAATCGACCTCCTCCTAGGTGCGAGAGCACCTTGAAGCTCAGCTGTGTCAGCGTCTTCATGCAAGGCAGCACGGTCACGGTCCAGATGGGGACACCAAGGCACGGGCTATGTGGCTCGCCCAAGACCCTGCCGCTGGGTGAAGCCGGAGTCCAGTTTATATGATTGTGTGATTAATCTCATGCCAAAGCACCCCCCTGTCTGCGTCTGCAGTATTCCACCTGTTCTCAACCTGCTCACCTACGCAGATAGAGAAAACCACACCTCTCGCCATTGGCAGCACCCTGGACGGAACTGGAGAGGGCGATTGTAGGGTAGGGGAAGAGGTATCAGGCTTTTCCGTCCTCCCGCCATCAGGATGGATGATGGATCCCTGCGGTTCTGAATGCATGCCCGATGGCGGCACCTGGAGTGGGGTGTGGGCCTAGGGAGATGGGATTCACCTGGGCTAAGACTGGGCTTTTAAGGGCAGCGTCACGGGGACGCCGGGAGAAGCTGAGAGAAAGAGAAACCGAGAGAAGAAGAGAAGCAGAGAGAAGACCAGAGAGCCCAGGTAGAGTGAGGATTTGCTGGGGGCTGGGAGGCCTGCCAGCCTCCCGGCCCCCCAGCCCCCAGCCTGCCATGTGCCTGGTAGATCTAAATAAAAGACCTGCAAATGCCACTGAGGACTCTGAATCCTGCTTTACCCGGTCTGCTGGGTCAGAAAACCTGCCCTGTGTCATTCCTGCCCCTTCAGCGATGCCAAGGGACGTGAGTCGGAGGAAAATGGCAAATGCAGGTGTTTTCACTCGTATGTGAAATAAAAGCAAAAGAAAGTAGCTGACAAAACCAAACACTAGAAATCTCGGGGTACAATGGAGGGTGGAGGGGCCCAGAGGACAGTGGTGGAGGATTATGGGGGCTTTGGCGGTGGGTGTGGTGTGGCTACATCTGAGGTGCGAACCTGTCCCCCAAATCATGGTGTCAGGAACCATTGTTACCGCAACAGAAAATAAAACAATCAGAGACAAGTAAACAAGTGGAACTAACAGAAGCTCCCTGCAGGGTGGGGAACGAGGACGAATCCTCCGAGGGAAGGCCCCGCGGAGTCTGGCTCCCCTGCCAGTGCCGCTCCTCCACCTTCCGCCTACTCCAGGCCGCGTCTAAAAGCTGCCCATGAAGCCACAGGAATGGCATAGCAGCAGCGTCCCTGTGCCCGTTGGGTACCCAGGGGCCCCATCCCACCTCCCTGCCCTCTGCCCCGTGTCCTCACCTTCGCTGGATCCTCTGGCACCTTTCTGACAAGTGTCTTCACCCCACCCGGGGCTGGCCAGGAGGGAGAAGTCCGTTTAATCTCAACTGCCAACTCGGATTTGATTGGTGATGGCTGGCAGGTGCGCGTGGGAAGATTCTGAGGCCTGGAGGCAGGAGGCCTGCTCAGCTAGTGATGCCTTCCGAGGATGGCGGGAGCTGGGCTGGCTGTGCCGGGGCCCTGGATCCAGGTCCAGATCAGAGGATGCAAAGTCAGGGGGTTTCTGGTGACTCGACCCCTGAGGTTTAACCAAGGAGGCAGACTCCCCGTGAAGGGCAGTGGCTCACCCTAGCCCAAGTACCCCCACTGTCCAGGCCAGAGCTCAGGCTTCAACAAGTGGGGGTGGGCAGGCATGAGGAGAATGGAGAGAGTGAGACGCTTGGTAGACTGGAGAGGAGGGGTCGCTGCGGGGAGTGGGGTCAGAGCAGTTTAGTAAGAGAGGTTGGGCCGTACGTGCATCTGCATGCAGAGCACACGAAATGTCTGCGGGTGGGTGGGTGTGAGGATGGATGGTGGATGGGTGGATGGATGGATGGGTGGGTGGGTGGTGGGTGGGTGGATGGGTGGGTGGATGGGTGGGTGGTTGGATGGATGGGTGGGTGGATGGGTGGGTGGTTGGATGGATGGATGGGTGGGTGGGTGGATGGGTGGGTGGGTGGATGTGTGGCTGGGTGGATAGATGGGTGGGTGGGTGGGTGGATGGGTTGGTGGTGGGTGGATGGATGGGTGGGTGGGTGGATGGGTGGGTGGTGGGTGGGTAGGTGGGTGGGTGAGTGGATGGGTGGGTGGGTGGGTGGATGGATGGGTGGGTGGGTGGGTGGATGGATGGATGGATGGGTGGATAGATGGGTGGGTGGGTGGGTGGATGGGTGGGTGGTGAGTGGGTAGGTGGGTGGGTGAGTGGATGGGTGGGTGGGTGGGTGGATGAATGGGTGGATGGGTGGGTGGATGGATGGGTGGGTGGGTGGATGGGTGGCTGGCTGGCTGGCCCAGATTGTGGAGCGAATGACTGGTTGGCTTCCATGCCTCCCAGGATCTCACGACCCAGCCTGTGGACAGCAGGTGCCTTCTCAGAACTCGGCCCTCCTGGCCACAGCGCCCCCTCGCGGCTCTGTGTAAACACCCCCTGAGCCCAGAGAGGAGCCCTTGCCTCCCCAAACCGGATGGAAAGGGGCATCTGAGCCTCCTAAATACCACATGTGCAGAGAGTTTTACACCTGCCATTTCAATTAATCCTTAATAATAAACAAACAAGTGAATAAATAAAATTTCCTGAGGCGGGCACTGTCCTTCCCATGGGGCAGGTCACGACGCTGAGGCTCTGTCCCTTCTCACTGAGCTGGCGGCCGAGGAGCAGGGGTTTGGACTCAGTCTGTGTCTACAGCCTTAGTCCTGCATCTGCCAATCTGGGTAGGGGATTCCACCGCTCCAGGCTTCAGTTTCCTCAGCTGTAAAATGGAGACAATTCTCTCCTGCTGCCTGCTGGGATCATAGAGAAAATGGGTGCCAAGGAGGCCTTGTGTCTACCCGGCTTATAAGACCGACCAAGAGCTTGAGCGCGACGAGTCCCAGTTTAGACATGTGTGGTCCCTGATTCTGCTCCTTGCTCACCCATCAGCCCACCCCCACCCATCAGCCCACCCCCCACCCCTCTCGCAGACCACACAGAATCTGTGCACAGCCCACCAGCTCTTCGCGCCACCTGCACCAGCCTCCCTCCATTTCTCACCTCACCTGGACGGTCCAGGGGCTCCAAGCCGGGTCCACACAGCAGCCTGCGGTCCTTTTAAAGAGGATCTACTACCACCTGCCTGTGATCCAGCAGGAGCCCCTCCCGGAGCAGCCAGGTCCACGTGGCCTGTGTGAGGCCACTTTGGGGCTTTGGCACTTGCTGCTCCCTCTCGTTGGAATTCTCTCCCCTGTCATGTAAGTCAAGTCTCCGTGGGGACAGCCTCACCACCCCGCGCGGAGAGTGCAGAACCGCCACAGACGCGGGGGGCGCTCACGCCAGAGTATTGATATTTACCACCTGGTCCTTCACAGCATTTTGCCAGCCGCACCCCTCTGGGTCTCCATCGGGGCCTCCTTTGCCTTGGAACTGGGTCTCTGGAAATTCTCTTGCTAGGTCTCCCCCAAGGAGGCCGGTAAGAATGGACGCAGGCCCCAGAAACTCCCGGCCCAGGTTCAGGCAAGCCCTACCCCACTTCCATCCTATAGAAGTCTCATCATATGACAAAGACTGAGGAAGCTGCTCTACAGTCGGGGTGCAGAACCGGCAGTAGTTCACATACTTGCAGAGAGGATGCGCTCTCCACGCGGAAAAGCGCAGCTAGAGATGGTCCAGGTCACACGATTCTTCCAGGGTTTATTTTCAACATCAGTCAGTTAAATTCAGTGAAGATAGTAATTTAAATGTATGAAAATATGAAGTTAGGGGCTACCCTGGTGGCGCAAGGGGTTAAGACGCAGCACTATGAAGTAATCTGCAGCCACTGGGGCAGAAACAGCCACTGCAGCATGAGTTTGATCCCCGGCAGGCCAGGGAGCTACCCTCATGGCGCAGCAGAGGCAGGAGAGCATTGAGTGGCGCCCCCTCTACTGCTCCGCCAGCCGGCCCAGGGCTCTGGCGAGCAACGTCCAGGAGCCAGTGCTGTCTGGGATCACCGCGCCAGGCCAGAGCTTCCCCTCTGCTGCAAGGAGACCCGGGGGCTCAGGCTCCCTCACCACAGGGACCTCTGAGGAGCCCTATTCTACAGAGGAGGACCGAGGCACAGAGTGACTTGCCCACATTCACACAATTAGAAATTGAGACCCGAGAGCCAAACGGGGCCCGCGTGGGTTGGGGGAGCTCTTTGCTGCTGTTTGCTGGGATCTGCCCAGGGACCAGCCCCACGGAGATGCCGCAGCCCAGGAAATAATGGAGAGCGTTGCTTACAAACTTCTTAGGCAAGGCCACGGGTCCCGGCCAGCCCACCCCAAATCTAAGTTTGCCAGGTAAACTGAGGCAGCACGGGGCTGTGGGCGAGAGTGGAGTTCTGGGGTCAGTGTGCCCGGAGACCTACTCTCGGGGCTGAGGGAGCAGGTGCCTGCAAAGACTGCATTTCCCACACGAGGTCACTCCAGGCCCGAATGTCCCATCGACTGGCTGTAGCTGCTGTCATGGCTGCTCTGTGGGGGGCCGTTAGGGTCCTGTGTGCCTGGCTTCACCAGCAGGCACCTGGGACCACCCACACTCGGCGATGGAAGGAACTTAGAGACCGCGAGAAGCACCGTGGAGAGGAGAGAGGCGCTTTGGAGTCACAGATCTGCTTCAAGCCTCAGTTCTGTCATTTACCAGCTGGGTGGTCGAGGGCTGGTCACTTAACCTCTCTGAGCCTCAGTTTCCTCCTCTGTCGGGCACCAGGTGGTCCTGTTTCCACTGGTGAGGGCCATTCTTTTCAGCCAACCTCTGTAGTAATCAGAAAAGGAAACTGAGGCTGAGAGACGGAATGACTTGTCCAAAGCCCCCGTGGCACAGTCAGGCCCAGAACCCCGGCCCCAGGCCCCACGCCCTCCTCTGAGCCGGAGCCGGGGAGGAAATGCAGATTCTCCTCGGACTCAGCCTTGGCCTCAAACGGCCACAAGGGGGCACCCTTGGAACTGCGCAGGGTCTCCTGGGTGTCTGAAGACGGGGCCTGCCAGCCAGAAAGCTCCAGGCCCCCAGGCTGGCCACGCGTGCTCCTGCCCCTTCAGGATTCTGATGAAAAGCCCCTCCCCACCCGCACACCTCGAAGGGATTCCAGAACCCCTGCTCACTCTCCTTCCCTGCCTACCCCACCCCACCCCACACCGGTTGTCCATTCTCCTCTTCCTGGGGAGACTTGGGGTCCTGTTTTTGCCAAGCAGGGGGTTCACATCTGGTTTCTGGGTTACAGTGGTTGGCTTGTCTCTTAGCATCCACCCCCACTCCTGCCCAGCTGTCCACAGACACGCGCTGGCACCTGAGGGTGGGAGGGAGGCAGGAGGGCAGAGGTGGGTCCACCTACCCGATGCGGCCTGAGAGTGTGGTCAGTGGATAGTTGGCACAGCCGTGATGATGGCGAGGCAGGCTTTGAGCCATGGCGGTTGGGAAATAGAGGGCTAAAGGTAGAACCTTCTGGGCGCCGACACCCCTCACTTGAGCCCTATGGGATGCAAAGGAGCTGGCCAGGCAAAGGCCTACACTTCCCAAGAGGCCGTGGAGGGAGACCCCTTCTGGGAGGACCCCTGTCTGGATGTGGTCTCCCCATCTGTAAATGGCAGCAATAGTCTCTACCGTGCCCCGAGTAGAATGGAAGAACCCACACGCGAATAAAACAGGAAGCAGTTTGGAAATTCTTAAGCACCTGCCAACACGGAGGCGCTGAGTCTCAGCACGGCGCTCGGGTGTCTCCCGAGGCCCTGGGGCCCTTGGCCGTCTCCATGAGCTCCTGGATCCCTCTGGAGAGTCCCCAAGCGCCTGCTGCCTCCACTTTGTGGCTGACCCTGACAGGCCCTCGCCTCCCTCCACCCCGGCCCCTACCGCGGCTTTCCCAGGAGTCATCCCCTGCCCTCACAAGGCCTATTCGAATGGACACGGCAAGGCAGGCAAGCCCGGGCCCTGGAGACCATCCAGCGCTCTTACGTTAAAGTTGGTGCAAATGGCGCCAGGAGGCCACAGTCACACCGCACCGGCGCCCACGCCTGGGGTGAATGGCAGTGTCCGAATGTCGCCCCTTCCCTATTTTTGTAGGCAACACAAATCACAAGCAATTTCCAAGTTTCATTCTTCATTCATGTCTTCATGAAGGCGGGGGCCAGCCCCCCCTCTAAATGGGCCACCCAGGTCATCACAGAAAGCGCGAATGTTCCCCAGCCCGACCTTCTCGCAGGAGGAAGCGCTGTCTTGCGCTCTCTGCTGGCCTTGGCTGTGAGTAACCAACTGCGTATGCCCTTCTCCCAGTGCACCCTCCCTGCAGAGAGCAGGACAGAGCTGCTGCCTTCCAAATTGCCTGGGATCGCACCCAGGTGGGCAGGGAGAAAAACGGTGCCAGAGGCTGATG